CTCCGGACCCAGGTCCTGAGAACCCTTCCCTCGGGGACCTGCCTGTCTCAGGACCCGGTTCCGGAGAGCTGGCCTTCTCAGCACACAGGTCCTGAGACCCGCCACCCTCCTCACTGTCCCGAGAAGCCGCCCCTCTCAGGAGGCGGGTCCGGAGAGCTGGCCTTCTCAGGACCCATGTTTTGAGACCCGCCCTCCTCCAAACCCTCCTGAGAACCCTTCTCTCGGATACCCGCCCCTCTCAGGACCCGGGTCCGGAGAGCTGGTTCTCAGGACCCAGGTCTTCAAACCCGCCCTCCTCCGGACCCAGGTCCTGAGAACCTTTTCTCAGGACCTGGCCTTCTCAGGACGCAGGTCCTGAAACCCGCCGTACCCGCCCCTCTGGGCCTTCTCAGGGCCCAAGTCCTGAGACCCGCCCTCCTCCGGACCCAGGTCCTGCGCCCCTCTCAGGACCGGGTCCGGAGAGCTGGCCTTCTCAGGACCCAGGTCTTGAGACCCGCTCCTCCTCAGGACGCAGGTCCTGAGATCCGCCCTCTCCGGGAGTCCCACCCTGGTCCTGAGAAGGCTTGTCCCGCCCCTCTCAAAACCGGGTCCGGACCTGGGCTTGTCAGGAACCAGGTGCTGAGACCCGCCCTCCTCCGGCTTCCCTCGGGGACCCGCCCCTCTCGGCCTTCTCAGGACCCAGGTCCTCAAACCCGCCCTCCTCCGCCCCTCTCAGGACCCGGGTCCGGAGAGCTGGCCTTCTGGGGACCCACGTCCTGAGTCCCGCCCTCTCCAAACCCAGGTTCTGAGAACCCTTCTCTCAGGTACCCGCCCCTGTCAGGATCCGGGACCCAGGACCCAGGTCCTAACAACCCTTCTCTTGGGGACCCGCCCCTTTCAGGACCCGGGTCCGGAGACCTGGCTGAGATCCGCAGGTCCTGAGAACCCTTCTCGGGGACCCGCCCCTCTCAGGACCCGGGTCCGGCAGGTCCTGAGACCCGCCCTCCTCCGGACCCAGGTCCTGAGAACCCTTCTCTCAAGTACCCGCCCGGGTCCGCAGACCTGGCCTTCTAGGTCCTGAGTCCCCCTCTCAGGACCCAAGTCCGGAGAGCTGCCCTTTTCAGGACCCAGGTCCTGAGACCCGCGCCCCTCCGGGCAGGTGTGAAAAGAACAGGAGGTGTGAAGGCCACGGAGGTAGCAGTCCTGCTCTGCAGCCTAGGAGCAGCATATGAGCCTCTGGCTGTGTTCCTGTCTGAATCCTTCCGGCACTCCTCTAAGTGCAGTACAGTGAAAACAGTGTCTTACTTCACGTCATTTCATGCTCCCTGGTCCCTGCGTCCCCCTGTACGATTCTACATGTCATAACAACACCTGCCGAGCGAGGACCATCAACAGCGGTCCACCAGCGATGGTGGGGTTCGGGGCTCGGCGTGTCAGCTACGCCTGCGTTGCAATTGGCCTTGATCTCAAAAGATGCTGCATTTCCGGGGTTCGAGGCCTTGAATCACTTCCTGGGTTGGATGCCTTGCAGTTAGAGTTTCTTTGTCGCCAGCTTCCCGCAGATATCTCGGCTTATCATCGGCTTATCCTGGAGTCCTTGATATGTTTCCCAAGACCTGTCTTCCAAACATGTCGCAGAACTCCCCGCCTGCAAGCGATCGTTCTATGGCCACATCATCCACTCCGCGGATTGGCCAGAAACAAGGGTCGGTCATCGATATCACTACACCGGAGAGGAATCCGCCTATGGCCACATCAGACACTCCGCGGATTGGCCAGAAACAAGGGTCGGTCATCGATATCACTACACTTACACCGGACAGGAAGCCGCCTATGGCCACATCAGACACTCCGCGGATTGGCCAGAAACGCGGGTCGATCATCATTACACCTGAGACGAAGCTGCCTCCAAGCACACCGCCCCCGGTGAAGAGACTGCGGCGTGAAATGCTCCTAGGCGAATCTCTACTGAATGCTTCTTTTCGGTTCTACATCTAGTTCGCAACAGCGAAACGTAACTAGCTGTGCGCTTCGGTTCTTGTAGGGTTATCAATTTTTTCTCACATCGTGTGATCCCAGGCAGACCTTGTTGGAATCGCCGGTTACTCCCTTGCACAAGCGCCTGGAATGATTAGATTCCAACCCATGATGAGTCGCACAGACGGAGAGCAGCGAAAGTGAGAAGCCGTGCTAGCAGAGTTTTGAGATTACCCGAGATCGCTGGGCTGGAAAACAGCATCGTCCCAGAGGCTTTTTTTGCAGGCAAGGGTGCGTTAGTCGCTAGTCATTAGTGTTTGCGTGCTGTCGTAGCCCATCAAAGAACCTACTTGACCGACTTCTCGACGTCTCACATGCCGTAAGTAGTAGATCAAAAATTCTGACACCCCGAAACCCCGAACCCTGCGCGTGCGGTTCCACTCGCGGTTGCTATTTGCTTGCTCATTCTCCCTGCTCTGGTGTGTGAAAGCTATCCTACCTCAACTGCTCCAAGGTAATCTCGACCATGGCGCGTGGAGAAGTGATCACAAGCTCAGAGCGAAACGAGACGCTTTCGAGAGTTATTTGGAATCGCAATCTGCTGAGTACTTCGAGTCCTTCGCCGATCGCGCCTGTTTGCAGTGACCGCTGTGCGTTCAGCAGTGTGCCGGTCTTCTGTGCCGTGTTCGGCTCGAGTCTGCTTGTGCAAACATTTGTCCATGGCTTCGGTGAGTCTGCTTGCACCAACATCTGGCCATATCACTTGTCACCGTATGAATCCCATGGGCCCATGCGCCATTAACGAGCAGTCACGAGACCGAATCCGATCTACACAACATGATACAAACTAAGACAGTTAGCCGCACAGAGTCCAGAGGCTACGCCACCATGGTCCCTGTCTCGTCGGTCGTCCAGCTGATTGTGGAATTTACATTCCAGAGTTGGGTTCATGTGGACTGCTTGCTTTTTCATCATCTCTGGTATGATGATTCCACAGACGACTCCGGTGCCGACTTGAGCGAAGAGCAACACATCGCTGCTGGGCGTCAGAAAATCGCAGACCTGGTGCGCATGATCCACATGACGGAGCTACGCATGGTGCGTATTCCTGGCTCTAGGGCCGATCTCCTCATAGAGTTCTGCGCCTGTGATGTGCGACAAATTGTCATCATTGCAGCATGTTCCAAGTTCTGGCTGGAACAGCTTCGGGTAAGTCTGCAGCAGCACCGTGGCAGTGCATATGGCATGTGGTGGATGACTAGTGCTTACCCACGTGCTCCCGCGATTTCATGTTTGCAGAGCCTCGAGATTCCCATTGGGGCAGCTGCTGTAGAACTGAGATTCTTCCGAGTCAAGCCTGTTTCCCCGTACTGAAGGCATCACCCGGCGCGCAACGGGCGCCAAAAACTCCGAGCTCCGATTTGCGCCTAGAGGTCAAGCCTTCACTTGTGAGCCCTTGCTTCTTGCTGCAGCCATTTCGAGTCTCGGGCACGGTGGGCTTCCCCTTTAGAGGTCTCAGTGCATTGGTGCGGGCCCAGGTCCTCCTCTCTCGATTCCAGTGCGCCTTGTTTGTTTTGCCAGGCGATGTCGCTGAAGGAGACCTGGCTCCGTGACTTCGGCCGGCAGGAGCGGCAGCAGATGCTCGAAGAGTGCAGCTCACTTGAGTTGCACGAGCTCCTCGGCCAGATCAACACGTTGCTCCTGTCCAGGCCGTTTCCTCAAGGGGCTGTGCTCAGCTGTTTCCTTTGTGACCTGGCAGGCTGCGAATGGAGGAGATTCGGCGAGAGGAGGAGGAGCCGGGACCTTGGTCGGGAGTCTCCCCCGAGAAAACCCTTGACACTTTTCGACTGCGAGGCAGCGACGTGAGAATCGGCGACAGCTGCCACCGTCAAAGAGGCGCCGACAGTGAGCCGGAGGGGGGGGGCACGGGCAAAACAATTTGAGGTCCGAGCTCCGAGCTGCGAGTGCTTCTCCGAACCTTGTGTTGCAGCCCAGCCTTTTGTGACCGCAGCCATTTTCAGTTTTGCTGGCCGGGAGGGGCGGGCGGGCACGTCGCGAGCTGAAGAGGCCGGGCTCGCACCGTGCCGTCCTGTGTCCTTCTTTTTGATCGCCCTGGGCAGGTTATGGCAAAGCGGACCGCAGAGTTCGAGGAGGTCACGGCCAAGAAGGCTCGTGTGGCCAGCTCCGGGGCTTCCTGTCTGGACTGTCGTTAGGGCCTGTACCTGTACTTTATAAGAGGGACTTTAAACGTTGGAACAGCGGAAGTCCACGCCCCCTAGCACCCCTAGCCTTGGACCTTATGCGTCCTGCACTGCATCCCTTCCATTGACTCAGGTCAACGACCCGCGATGTGTGCCGTCCGTGTCGCTTGAGGCCGGACAATCGTGGCAGGGGTTGCAGTTGCATGATATCGCAGCGACTCTACACATACTGCACGGATGATATCTTGTCTGCAGGGACACGAACCAGCCGTAGCAGTTTTGTGTCACTGTTATACCATTTACCATGGACCATGGACCATGTTCTGTTCTGCAGCTCCGCTTACGGGTTTGCATCAGGCCCACTTCGACCTGCTCCTCAGTTCGTGTTGGGCTCAGCGGGTCAGCGGGCTCAGTTGCTGCTTCGTCAAGAGTTCTGTACCATGCTGAGCCATGCCTTGCATGCTGTCATGCTGTCATGCTGATACTCAAGTCGAACGGTCCAACGGTGACTCTCAGTGGTTATCGCATGGACTCGCATAGACTCACTTACTGACTGCAATGCATGTTCATGACACACAAGTCTACGGGCTACTGGGCTACTGACTTTTCACACAAGGGTCACCAGGGTCCAGGGTTCCGTAGACAGTCCAGTCATTCAGATCACATAAACGATATACACGACCTATGCATCACCGTTGTCGCCAGAGTGTTCGCATACGTCGCAAAATTGTAACACTCGCTATCCACGGAACCACGGTCCACCAATGTGGACCAATGCACCAAATCACTAATGTCATTCAAAAGTCGGACTCCTGTGCTTGTGATATTCTTTGCAGCTGTGCCATGGCGGACCGGCAGAGAGGGCTGATCCTGCAGAGGAAGCATGCCTTCAAGTTTTTTGAAGCCAGTGCACCCAAGACCCTGGAGCTGCGGAATCACAACTTGCGGTGTGTGGCGCCACATGAGCACTTTTGGATTGTGGAGTGCGGGCACGGTCGCAACGGAAAAGGGAATCTCGTTTACAAAGTATTGGGACGTGTGACCTTTTTGGAGAATGTTTCCTTGACTGCCGCGACGGTTGCCAAAATGTACAACCATCACCTGTGCAATGATCAGGATTTCAAAGAACTGCAGTCCAAATGGAAGAAGCCCAACAATATCATTGGATGGAGAGTGACAGATGCTCAAGTGTTCCGCCCAAGTCGATGGCTACGGCCCAGTAGCAATGAGGGTTGGCTGCACTTTAGATTCGAGGATCTTTACATTGATTTCGAGATGTCAGATTGTGATCGTGGCGACGCTACAGTCCTGTCGCAGTTGCATCCTGTTCTTCCGGAGCGTGTGCAGCCTGCCATGTCCACATTGTTCCAGAACTGTGCACGTCGCCCAGTCCCGCCCATAGAGTCCGTAGAGGCCGCAGAGGTTGCGGAGCCCCCCTGCGTTACCTCAGTTGCCGGTGCCCTTGCCACGGATCAGGAGCAAACTCCGTTGCAGACACAGCCCTGCGCCAGTTCCACGTCATTGGGACCATCATTGGAATCCTCGACGGCGCCCGATAACATCAGGACCAGCGGTATCATCGATGTCACCAATAATATCACCGAGCCCGAGCCCTGTACCAGTGCCACCTCAATGAGATCGTCATTGGAGTCCTCGGCAATGCCGGCAGTGCCCCATAGCACCCGGACCAGTGTCATCGACGTGAACGACATCCTCGAGCCGAGGGCATCCAGGGAGTCCATGGAACCCAGGGGCGCATACTCACCAGTGCCCGAGGCAACGGCTGAGAGAATTTCTGAAATGATTGACGAGATAGACGACGCGCTGCATGTTAAATGTCGATGTGAGACGGATGCACAGGAGGCCACGACGACGAGGACTCCTGAGGCTGAGGCCGGTGCATCCACGGCTTCCTGCTCCTTGAAAACAACACGCGTGGACGAGGCGCCATGCGAGGCCTGCGATGGCGCGACCAAGCCTCGCGATTCGCCAGACCACGAAGGTGAGGCGCCTGCAGAGTTGGATCCAGAAACGGAGAGGTTCTACATAACCGAGCTGGAAGCTGAGCTATTTGAAGGGAACCCGAACGTTGCTGCGACTGGAGCAGAGAATACTACTGCATCCGCAACGGCTGCACCGGCCCAAACCGAGACACCGAACGCTTCCTCGACGAGCGATGGAGCGGGACGGCACTCGAGATCCTCTACAGGAGCAGATGATACTACTGCATCCGCAACGGCTGCACCGGCCCAAACCGAGACACCGAGCGCTTCCTCAACGAACGATGGAGCGGGACGGCACTCGAGACCCTCTACAGTACAGACACGACATCAACGCCTGACGTGTGGAAGACCATCCGCGATGTCCGCTATGGCATACAACGCAAAGCCGGCCGAGCTCTCCGGTGAGGTTGTGGCTGCTGTGGCTGTGGATTTTGTAGGCATGTCCGGACCGTCGTCAAAGGATAAAACGAGTGCTCTGCGACCAGTCGTTCATTGTCGTTGTTCGATATTGGTCGCGGCTGCCGGTTGCCTAATACATTGTTGTATACGGCATGAGTCCGGCATGAGTCACGGTATGAGCTGGCTTGCAAGCTTGACTTTTTCGTTCGCCGCTTCAGCTCTGTGTTCCGGGGCGATGCGGTGCCGCTGCCGGTGCTGCTCACTGCTCCATCATAATCCATGGTCCGTCCATGTAGGGTCCCTTTCCCTGTCCCTTCGTGAACAAACACAGGGCGAGCAATGTTATGTCACATGTCAGCATGTCAGCCATGTTTGGGCCATGCAATGCAATGCAACATGTAACATGCATACATGCATGCCGTCTTTATTCTTGTATGCCGCTGCATGTGTGCTGTGTATTAGGACAGGCAGAGCAAGCCGTCAAGCCATGACTCGGTTCCTTGTGATTCTGGCACGCTTCGACACCGATATTCTACACCCCCGTAATTTCGCAATACCATTCCGTCGCTTCAAGAAGGCACGTGCTTTTGCTCGTGCATTAGTGGCCACGTTCGCTCGCCACCTGGGCTACACTCGGTGGACGGTGGCCGTATATGCAGCGGATTCAGACGAGTGGCCTGGTCCCGAAAGCGAGCCATTGCTTCTGTACCGTGGAGGTCCTCGATGACGCAGAGGCAATGAACACCGAGCTGAGTGAGTGCAGCTGGAGAAACAAGCTTCCATCGTGTGCCACCGTGTGCCGGACTAAAAATTTGCTTGCATTCATCTGCGATCAGGCCTGCTGCAGGGATACAACATCAGCAGCGTCAGTTCATCCTCAGTATGTGTGTGTTCATTGGGCCCAGGTCGGCGACTGCTGGGCTTTGGAAGGTCTCAGCTCTGACGTTGCCCTCTCAGCCTCTCAGCAATCGGACGCTACCAGGGGGCGACTGAGTGCAGAGATTCGGCTTTTGTTTTTTGTCCGGGTCCGCCTGTGCACTGTGCATTATTTGCCTGAAGGAATAGGTGGTGCTGCAGGGATACAATGATACAGGCACAGGCACAGGGATACAGCATCAGTTCAGCATCAGTATGTGTATGTTCAGTCGGCCCAGGTCAGCGACCGCTGGACTTGGGAATGCCTGACGCCTGACGCCGCACGCCCCCCTCTCAGCCTCTCAGCCTCTCAGCCATGGGGCGTTGCCGAGGGGCGTTTGAGAATAATAGTAAAGTACTGAATACTGACTCCAATACTGGCTGACTGGGCTGTACTGTATGCCTGCATGCGATAATCATGTCCGATTCCTGTGAGGGCCGAGCTAGGCTCAGCTATCATTCATTGATTCGGCGGTTCGGTTGTGTGGCTCCTGTGCGCTTCTGCTGAACCCTGTCCAGTGCTTGTCCAGGCCACGTACATCGCACACGCCCGGGGGCAGAACGGCACTGGTACCTGCCTCAGCTGACAGGGCTCAGCGCATGAAAGGACGTCCGACATGACATCATGACATGACCTGACACGGGGCACGACATGACATGCCTGAGCGTCGCACGCTGTGCCGAAACCACGAGGAGTAACCATATGGACATGTGCATGATGTGCCCATTGCATGCGAGCATCAGCACGCCCGCCCACGGACAGGCATGTGGCATGTGCCATGCTAGGTGGCATGTGTGTGGCATTTGCCGGCATATGCACAGTTGCAGCTCCGGATGTTTGCATGCATGCAACTCAAGACTCCGCTCATCCCGGCACATTTGACCCTTTCTCTGCTTCAGCGACTCCGCTATGGACGGCCAGTCCGATTCGTCAAGTTCGCATTCGTCGGCTGACACCTATCCTGGCCCCGTGGCGGTGCTGCAGATCACGGCGTGGATCACCGACCACTACCTCCACTTCAAGGCCGTGTCCATGGGAGGCAACCTTGTGGGTGTCGTGCAGCACCCCAAGAGTGCCGGCCTCACGATGACACGGTTGCGGAGGAAGTTCCAGCACCTGATCATCGAGAGGAGGCTCAGAGACGTCTCACGGAACATCCGTCTGGTCGGAAAGGGTGGGCATGTCCTTGAAGGAAATATCGTCCTCTGGACTGACCCGGAGTTCAAGGAGACTCTCTGTAGAGAGGTAGTGGCCAAGCGGCGCAAGATTTCATGCAAGCTTGATCCACGAGTGTTTTTGCTGGCCCAGTTCCTAGAGGCCGATGACTCCTGAGGAGAAAAAAACAATGGGATTCGGATTCGGCCGTGTGTGTTCCCTGGATGTATTGGCGGATTCAGTGTTTGCATGCTTCATGCCACGCCATGACATCATCACGACGTGACTGTGCATTGACATGCATATGCATACCGACATGACATGTCATGACACGAGTTGGCCCAACTGCACACCCTGAGCCTCATCACCTGGCGTTCTGCAGTTGCTGGCTGTAAGCTTGATCATCGAATCATCAATCCTCTCCGCCTCATTCCTCTCTGTCTCGCGTCGTCATGTCGTCGAGCGCTGCCGGTTCCCTGTCGACTGCGTCGGTGCCCCCTGAGACGGGGCTTCTGACCAACAAGACACCAGGCACACAGCTGGACTTCGACCTGTACGAGCCCAACCATACAATCGAGGCACTCTTTGGCAACGCATTGACCGGCGCAGCATTGCTAGAGTCCATCCCGTCCTGGTATGTCGACTCCGAACAGGACGTGCCGTGGTACAGTGACGGCGACATGCGCAACGTGGTTCGGTCCCCCCTTTCAAGGCCCCTTCAGGAGGTGACGGTGGCCCGGTATATAGACCGCATACGCGACGAGGGCCTGTCGCAGATCGTCGCAGGACGGGCCGGGTCATGGCGCCGCACATACCCACATGCTACATGCCACATGCCGCATGCCATGTGTCCGAGACATGCCCGCTCGTCGCACATGCACATGCCCGTCAACTGCCGCTTCGTCAAACACATGGCTTCTATTGGTTACTCAGACTCATGCACCACAATGCATCACTGAAACATGCATGGCCCATGGTTGCATGCATCCGGTGCCATCTTGTGCGAATCTTGTGCTGGTGCTCGTCACATATCCGTCACATGCCCCATCGTCACACACATGGCTTCAATAGGTCACTTAGACTCATGAAAGGATGCATCATTGAAACATGCATTATCCATGGCAGCATGCATCCGGTGCCATCTTGTGCAAATCTTGTGCTGGTGATCGGTTGAGTCAAGGCCTAGGAGTTCACGTGTCAGTGCCCGAGTCACATGAGTGCATGCTGCAGTGTGCAACGCACGAGTCCATGGGACATGGGGCCATGGCCATGAGTCATGAGTGAGTGTTACAGTGTTACATTGTTACGGTGTGGTGCTTTTGGTTCCGTGTGATCCATCCAGGTGTGCGGCGGCATGTGTGTAGTAAGTGCTGACAGTGCTGGCTGACGTCAGGAGAAGCCATTTTCAAATGGCAAACAGCGGATCGCAGGTACCCCCTCCACGCGGGCGGCTTCAACCACCGCGCCGAGGCACTCTATCGTGCCTCGGAGGAGTCCCCCAACAACGCGAATGTGAAGGACGCCGTGGCCCGTGGCCTTCGGAAAGTCAAAATCCTTCATTGGCACACACCGGACGGCATCTTCACCAAGGTTGTGTCCCTCCTGAATCAATTCCACCAGGGGTCGGGCCTTACCCACTGGGACGTATTGCAAGAAGCCCTCAAACTTGAGGCGGCCTGGAAGGCAGAGTGTACTGTGTCGCGCCTGAACACGTACAACCCCCGCTACCAAGCTGCTTATGAGGCATTTGTGCTGCGCAAGTCGGCAAGCTCCGAGTACAACGGCTGTTTCAAGTCCAAGCTCAGCTACTACAACGCAATATCGCTCGCTCACAGTTTCCATTCCATGGAGCTGTATGACGAATTCCAATCTTGGTGTCATGCCAATGTTGACTACCTAGACAACAAGTACGGTGCCCACACCTGCATTTCGCAGATGCATGCGTTGACGACAATGCTCCTCGGCGCTCAGCGCAAGTACGTCGACAAGTCCTTGCTGAGGGTGATCCTCCTGGAAGCGCTCAAGTGTTGTGTTGGGTACTCAGAGTACTCAGGTAATTCAGGATATAATGTGTCATGACTGTGTCATGTGTCATTTTGTCAAGCCGCTGCACTGCCGCTGTGCTGCCATGCCCTCATGGGCCACATGGGCCCTCATGTTAGGCATGTGGAATCTGAGTCAGTCATGTCCGAATGTCCAGTTCATTCTGTCCGCCATTCTGCCGTGATTCCGTGACGTAACTCATGACTCACGTCACTCATGTCAATGCCTGACTGGTCTGATTAATGATTCCACTGGACTGATTCCTAAGTCACGTCTGCCACGCCATAATTGTCGAGCCCCTGTACTGCTGATATGCTGCCATGGACCCCATGGACTTCACGGACTATGCTCATGCTCTCACGTCATGCATGTGGAATCGGTGGTGATGAAGTGGTGGTGGATCCTCACGCCCATCATGTCCGCCAGTTTGCCTTGATTTCACGACTCCACGACTCCATGACGTGACTCATGACTGACTCACGTCACTCATGTCAATGCCTGACTAGTCTGATTAATGATTCCACTGGACCGATTCCTGAGTCACGTCTGCCACGTCATAGTTGTCTAGCCCCTGCACTGCTGATATGCTGCCATGTACTATGCTCACGCTCTCAAGTCGTGCATGTATTATTAGGCCCCTGCCCCTCACTCACGTCCATCATGTCCACCACTTTGCCTTGATTATTCCGAATACCTGATTCCACAACTCCACGACTACGTGACGTGACTCACGACTCACGCCACTCGTGTCAACGTCTGATTCCAGGCCGTGTTTCATGTCATGGACTCATGTCTTACCATGTGACAATTCGACACGTCTGCCACGACATGATTGTCGAACGACTCACCTGGTGCTTCATATCAGGTGCCAGCACGTGGGGACAGGAAAAGCGAGGGCCGTGGCAGCATGAGTTTCATGTTCAGCAAGGGGGGCGCTGAAACAACAAAGCTCATGAACGTCGTCAACCTACCGATGCAGAACAGCACAGTCGTCCGCAAGATGACGCAAGCATCGGCCTCGAAGCCTGTCCTGAACACGGACGACGGCAGAGGTACGAAGTCCTCTGATGTGCCGTTGCTGGTCAGGCACGCCCTGTCCACCGTCGACGGACTCAACATTCGACTGAAGGACAAGGAGAAGGAGAAGTTGGGCGTGGCGGTCGGCGATGTTCCCCAGACCGAGCATCTCGAGACGGGGCCAGGCAATGACAGTGCTGATGCGTCGAGGGGCGATGACAAACAGGGGGTCACAGGCACAGGTGCCGACACAGTCGAGCCGCCCACGAAAAAGGCTCGAAAGCAGGAGAAGAAGAATCTCTTCAAAGGATATGACGAGGAGAAGGCAACGTATCAGACAGTCGTGCACGCGCAATCGAGATTGTTGTCTACAGGAATCGCCAGCGGCAGCACCGCCATCACCGGCAACAAGACGGAGTCCAGACCAATCACGGCTCTGGATGATTGCCTGGCTGCATGCAAGTTCATCCTGCAGAAGCTGGTGTCCAAGGGCTCGGTGACTTCTGCAGAGGAGCCGGGCGTCCTCGCCTCCTTCTCCTTTTGCATAGGCCTCTTCTTCGAGTTTGCTTGGACGGGCAAGGTCTCCGTGAACGGCAAGCACTTCCGGCAGTATTCGGTTCTCCGCACAGAGCTGCAACAGTGCTTCCTTGACGCCCATGAACTCCTGTCCAAACCGAGTGCAAGCGTGGAACCTGAGATCCCTGGCGGGGAAGTGACCAAGAAGTCCAAGGGAAAACACATCAACGTCGGCTCCCTCGAGCTCGCTGAGCTGTTGTGCACATCCTTCCACTCTCAGCCCGTGACCTCGGTGGCATGGTCTGCGGACGAGCCAGGAGAATCCACGATCAGGAACATTCTCACGGTGATGACTGAGCACCCCGATGACATCAACAATATGAATTCGTTTGTCCAGGAGACGCTGAGCCTGCCGCTGGTGATGCATCCGGCTGTGCAGAAGGCCTTGACAGGAATTGCAGGCCTTCCATCCGACTCGACCGCCAGTTTGATAGACATTGTTTCCATTGCATACGACGCCATCATCAAGAACTTTCCGGATCTTTGGACGGCTTTTGGGTTTGATTGTGTCTCCGCACACGAGAACAAAGGCCGGTTTGTTGAGAACACCGCCGAGGTCTTCCAGGATGTAGACAAACTTCAACAATTCGCTAGCATCAGGCTTCGGTATCTTCTCGCGATTCTCAAGGAGACGCTCACCATGGGGTCCAAGCCTTTGAAGCAGTTGTCATCCTCTGCCCAGGACTGTCTGCGCCAGATCTGCGACGTGTCCTCCAAGACGGATGAGTTCGACCGCATGTTTGTGTTTGACTCGATGCAATTCACGAAGCTTTGGTCCTCCGAGTGGGCAAGGCTGCTGGATGTGTGCAGCCGTGGTCGCAGAGCGTTTCTCTCCGCACTTGCTGAAGAAATCAAAAGCGATGGCACGCAGCTCCCCGCCGCAGACCTTCGAGAGAACATGAACGTGCCGCCGGGCACACTGCGCAAGCTCAATCATCAAGGTGACCAAGGTGCCATCATGACGGCATGACCGGCATGAAGTTGCTGAACATGACCTCATGCCGCATGCCGCGTGCCTCTTGACACGCATGGCCCGCATGGCCTCACTGCAGCTACACAAACAGTTGATCTGGTTTTGCAACATGCAGCATGACGACATCAAAGTGATAAGCATTGATAAGCATGCACATGTCGCACAGGCTATCATGTTGTGACACGCACGCTCCCGTTTGCATGACTCGGGCCTTGCATCATGTTGGGAGTGCAATCTAGGAGTATTCCATATGCAGCTTGGTCAATGACAATGCAGTATTCAGCAAGCGTGCGTGTGTCGTGTATCATTCTGCTGTGAGACAGCCTATTAGAGGTTGTGTCCTTCGGGCCCTTGGGTTGTGTCAAGTGCAGGGGGGGCATCGACCACCGACGCGAAGGGGGAGGACTCGACCAATGCCGCCGAGACCGAGTCGGGCGGCGTCCAAGCTAAGGGGCCTGCATCGGGGGCGAAGGATGTGGGTGCCACGCGGACCGCCGACCAGCCTACCGTCGTGAAACTGTCCAAGATCAATACCTACACCGATGAAGAGGCGTGCAATGGTTCTCTGCATTCCTCCGATGCGGCTAAGGCGCTGCAGCTTGAGGCCAGCGACTTCACGTCAGTGTCCATCAAAATCCTGGAACGCAAGCTAGAAGTTGTGCAGTGGGATTTCTACGAGGCCTTCAAGACTGGGGAGGAGAAGGTTCTCGTCGATATCAAAGCCAAGAAGGACATGTTGCAGGTAGAGCTCCCCCTCAACAACATCACGGACCTCTGCCTGCCTTTCGGGGGCAGCATCGCAATGGCGTGTCCCAGCAAGGCACTTCCCTTCTGCTCGTTGTTTGGCTTGAGATTCTGTGTCCAGCCACGGACCGATCCAATGGCATCCGACATTCTCATCGCCGCCTGGGCCGCCAAAACTGTCTCCAAGGCCAGCGACTGCTACTTCAACAAGCATGTCCTGAGTCGACCCCTTCTTATCCTGCGTGAGAAGAATGAAGAGGGAAATCTTGCGAGTCTCGCGGAGATGAAGTTCTTGCTTTTGCCACCCACTTCGTCCCAGGATGTCGAGTCCGAGAAGCTTCGGGAGAAGTTCGTCCGCATGGAGAAGGATTGCTGTGCTGCTGGCGGGTGTGTGTGTCGCTTGGCAGCGTCATTGCGGTCAGTTCCGTCCATCCAGTCCATTGTCCACGTTCATCCGTGCTTTCGAACACCGTGGCCCAGTCTCGCAATGCTCCGTGTCATGTCACTGAACGAGGGTCACGCCGTCACACATGTCAGCATGCTCAGCATGTCATTGAGTGAATGAGTGAATGAGCCAATCTGACATAATTTGCCAAAGCTCATTCATAATTCATGATAATCATGACATGGTCCGACATGCATGGTAACATGGTTTAGCATGCCTTTTTCCCGACATGATGATGCCAGCCAAGTTCTCGCCGAATGCGAGCTTCATGCTCTCCGACCCTGCTGCGGCATTCAGACAAAGATGGAAGATGAGCTGCAGAAGCAGCGAGACAAGGCCGAAAAGACTGCCCTGACCCTCGTCACTGCGGCGGCCAAGAAGCGTCAGTCTGTGGAAATGAAAGAGACAAAGCAACGGTTGCGGAAGGCTGCGAAGACCAGGCGAGTCGGCGGTCACTCCAACATCGACGATGCTGACAATGGTCTTCAGGAGGAGATTGACAGTGCGGCCGCTGACTTGGAACGGGCTGAAAAGACGGAGAAGATCGAGCAGGATGCTGAGAAGGCGTTGCACGAGGCCCTGGCCAAGATCAAGATGCCATCCACCGTGCCTCTCACAACCATGACACAGGCAACCGCTACCACAGGCTCGGAGACTGCACCCGAGGGTGTCGCTCGCACAAAGGTGCTTCAAGAGGCCTTGGAAAAGAAGCGAGCGGAGCAGAAGGCGGCATCCGGATCCGCGTCAACCCCCTCCACTGCTGTGGAATCTCCACCGAATGTGGGCCTTCAGGCTATGATTTCTGTGCTCAAGCGAAAGGGCACCATCCAGACCAAGAAGAAAATCACTGGCGACAAGGACGCGAAGGATAAGCAACAGATGGTGGACGACGTGCTGAAGCTAGGAAAGCACTTGCTGAAGTGAACCTCAGCACTGACATGTCATCATGGAGTCATGGAGTCCTCATGATATCATGCATCCGTCGTCGCATGTCCAAACCCATGGCCGTGTAGTTCATGCCATGCATCCATGCATGATCGCATGACCGTGTCACTCGCATGCCGGGCAGCATGCCGCTTGACTCACTCTAGACCGTGTTGAGATTGAGACACTAGCCTGCAACAGACACACACATACTAAACCTTTGGAGTCCGGAATGGTTCCTCCGATGGATGAGTCAAGTGATTCGTGGTGCGGCACACATATGAACGGCGGCGAATGATGCACAAGACAAAAAATCACGTGTGCCGGTCATTTCAATTGCTGCCTTGTCGTTATCGCATATGAATCTAGGCTTGGTAGATTCCGTCCATGCATGCATCCATGTGCGGACACTCCCAACCTGCGGCAGATTCCAAGGCATTGGCGTCCCGCTGGGTCGGCATCAGGCCAAGTTCCGACGTGTTGGATTGGGTCGGCATGATTCCGGCATGATTTACATGTCGGCTTGCTGAGTTGTGCCGCCTTTGTGTGACATGCTCATGGCCGCATGTCATGGTTGCGTGCATGCATACATGACCCTCCGAGCTGATATTATCTGTCATCCTCATGTCGGGATATACATGTAGAGCACAAGCTCATGTTCCCGAAGCCATGTTCCATGATCTTTCCACGTGTGTGGTGTGCATGAAAAAAATGCCCTCGACGACAAGTAAGCATTTTCAAACATGATTTCCACATGATTTTCCTTTTTCAAAAAGCTGTATGACCCCCTGTCAACCTATTTCGAAACGTGTATCCAAGGGCCTTGTCGCAAATAAAAACGGGGCCGGATACGGGGGGTGCGTTTTGGATTGGGGTGTTCCAAAGACATTGTCGGAAACGCGACCAGGGCCGATACACTGGGCACACTGTGTGGATGGTGGTCTGTGAGGGGCTGGAGGGTTTAAATAGGTGGTTCAGGGCCAGGCACGGGGGTCCAGACTGGGTAGGGGACGCTAGGGGGCCAAACTCGGGAGCAACCCCGCGCAAAACCCGGCTACATGCCACAGCTAAAACTGAGACCCACAACCGGTCAGCAGTCTTTGACCTGCGTCGCTCCAGCTTCGCATGACATTACTGTTGACAGCCCTCCTTAGATTGTGCAGGATTCGCGTTTGACCTCGATCAAGTTCCTTGGGATGTTCCGCTCTGGCCTTGCGTGCCTGTGCTGCAGTTTAGCTCTCTCGGTGATCGTGCGCAGTTGCTTGAGAGGCCCGTAATGTGGCGAATCGTCATCTCAACTTCGGAATGCTAGAGCTCTGCACATCGCCTAGGTAGGCCTCGACACCAAGCATCTGCCCGGGCCCTGGTTATTGCATTCGTGCCAACACCTTGGTGAAAGCTGTGTCAAGATCGCAAGATATCGCAAGCACTTCTCACCAGAATGAGTAAAACCAGAGCCGCACCGTACCGACCCTGTCGGCCCCGCAGGCTCTCTTTCAACTTTGGCCAGAAGCCCTTCAAGTTCGATTTGGATGCTAATATGCCCAGCCTCGTGGCGAGCATCTCAGGAGTGCACGAGAGGAGGCAGAGATAGGCGGAGAGGAGCTCTCTCTTAGAGTCGAGTTGGGTAGGTCCAGCTCAAGACCGTCTTTGACACGGTTTCGGCAGATGCCTTAGCAGCTGAAATCTGATTTCGCAATCCCGTCTCCCGTTGCGTCCTCTCACATGAGGTTTGGCCTCTGAACTTTTCGGCACCAGCCCGTTCCTGAGATTTCCAAGGCAGCTGGGAAATCCCACTGTGCGGTCTCGTCATGTGTTGTGTGTTGTCGGATCGAGGCAACCCCGACTCCAACTCCCGCGACGCCGGGGACCCCTGACACCACGGAGAACACAGGTGCGACCACAACACAGAACTCCGACAGCTCCCCCTGCCTTGAAGTCGGGCCCAGATTCTTCAAGTTTGTAGGCTTCAATTCCATACGGACCATGGATGACGCGTCGCGTCCGCTTCAACAGATTTGCGACAGCCTGCTCCCGGTCCTTGCCAGGCTTCAATGCCTTGTCAGGCCCAGGTGGGACAGAAAGCGGAGGCATGCCGGAGAAGTGACGGGAGAGCATTGAAGAGAGGGAGAGAAGAGAAAAGGAGGAGACATGACTTTGTTGGCCCACTGCGGTGATATGCAACCGCAGTGTTGAGTTCCTCGAGCACTGCCGATGCCGGCAAGAGAGCCAACAACTGCCGGACATTCCACGGACATTCCGCGGTAGTGTAGATTCTCTCGAGCGCCAACAAACCCTGTACTGCCCCGAAAAGCTAAGCCAGACGGGTTCACGAAAGGTAGTGACAGACGCGACACCGTTCCGTTTCTGCTCTCTGGGCCAATGCGCCCAACATCCATGGGGCTGCCAGCGAAACAAAGGTGCGACAAAAGAAGGTTTTTGTGCGCTTCGCTTTGAAAGAGCATTATGCTTACCTTGACGGTCGAGATCGCGCGCCGGGAAGGATAGCTGGCGCTTGCCTGACTCCATGGTGGCAGCAGGCCATGTCACACCACTCTTGCGCACGGGCTTCGAAGTAGCGTTGCGGCAGGTCCCATACCGGAACTGCGTCCGCCTCCGAGGCCAGATTGACCATGAGAGGTTCACACTCTTCAGGGGAACGTGATGAACACAGTCTTGGTGCCAGGCTTGGAAATCCACCACCAGGAGATGCTGCGTACTCTGCGCAGCTTTCAGCACGTGCTGCCGCGCAACAAGCGCAAGGTAGCCGAAAGGCTGCGTGCATCTTCCCAGGGCGGGCTCTGCCCCAAAGGTTGCACCCTGGGCCTCACCACGGACTACAAGTTCGGCGGTGGTGGCACTCCCGTGGTCTCCAAAGCCACGCGAGCTCATCCCAAGCTTGTCCAGGCGCTCTGACGCATCAGCGGTTTGTTGAAGTGCCACGTGCTTGAATGCGTGCTCCGAATGACCTCAGGTGCTTTGCAGAGGTTGTCGGGCCGCCTGCCCCGATTTCAAGTTTACCTCGATCCAAGTCCGTGGCCCCAGTTTGGTGACATGTGGAGAGGAGCTCATGTCTTGAAAACTTGGGATGTCAAATGAGGTCAATGTGAATACGAAATACAGGATGCACACTGATGGTTTCGATGCTGGGCCGAGCCGCATGGTTGCTCTTGGCAACTTCTCCCGTGGACGGCTCTGGCTCCATGCCTCGAGGAACAACAGCTGGAGTTGCTCTGCTGCACAGAGCGAAAGCTGGACGCTCGATTCCCTGTTCTGGGCTCGGGGCTCGAAGAGGCCTCGTGGACGTGCACAACACGTGGATCGCCTTCGATGGCCGTGAGTTCCATCGCACGGAGGAGCGATCGCCAGATGAAATCTCAATTCACGGCAGCTTCGGACAGCTGCTAGGAGTGGCAGGGCCTCGAGAGGTACAGCCTGGTCTTCTTCACAAACCACTTGTGGGACCAGCTTGATTTCGAGGCAGTGCGGTGCTGCGAAAGACGCTGCAGAACCCCCCCACAACTGCTAGGATCCCAAGGTGCAGGATCCCGAGAGCGAGAACGGTCAGAAAGCTAAAGAGGCCAAACAGAAATGTCAAAGCTCGTGGGCCGCCAGACGCGGGAGATTGAAGCACAAGCCTCTCATCAAAGATCGAGAAGCAGCGAGGAAAGGAGAAATCATTCAGACGGTCACCTTTGACATCGGGCGACATCATTGAGAGTGCATCACCAATGCAGAGTAGAAGCAACAAGACGCTGACTCCCCTAGCGATAGAGCATTCAAATGCGCCTGTCTCAGCACGTGATTCAAAGTCGTCACCCCTCTCTGCAGCACATCAGCCTGGTGCCGTTCCTTCTCTCAATACTTTCCAAAGCTTGTTTGACAAAGTTGAGGGCAGTCTTGTGTGAAGCATCTCGTTGAAGCTTATGGGCAGGGCCAGGATCAGCTGAAGGAGCTAGGCTTCCCCTGGCCTGAGACGGAGGATGTCTTCCGAGAGGACACCCTCCGTCGGTCACATGCGTCGAAGAAGCCGAGATGTGTTTTTGAGGAGATCCCGTGGCCTGATTACCGCCAGCATGCAGCGCTGAGAAGCTGGAGGCCACGAAGTGTCCAAGAGAAACATCCGGTAGATTTCATAGGAAAATAGCAGGTTGAAGTCGTTTGAAGGAATGGCATGTGTCGTGTTCCCATCGGTGCTCATGATGATGTCCGATTGCATTGTCGGTTTGCTAGTGATACGGCCATTTAGGTATTGAAGGGTGGGTAGAGACATGAGCCGACAGGGAACCGAAGAAAGCACTCGCCTTTTGCCGCAGGTGGGTACAACTGCAGCAAGCTCCTCGCGGGCTCCTGCAGCGTAGGTGTCCAAGGTGGAGAGAGCAGATGCGAGTTGTCTGAATGTTGGGGTTCCGCCGAGTGTTTGAAGCATCGCCAAGGCATCCTCTCCGCATTCCGGGGTGCGGTGCGCCAGAAGAATCTCCGCGGTGGGTCAAAATGGCAACAGCACCTCTTAGATCCTCTTAGCACGAAGCGGAGCACCCTGAGCACGTGGCAAAGCAACAAGTCCTGTCCTGAGCCAGGTGCAGCTCCAAGCCCCTCGAACGCAAGCGACGAGGAGAGCCGTATCACACGTACGATGATAGCATTGACCTGGCCCACTGGCGGAGTAATCTGTGACATGCTAGCTTTCCTTTCTCTGCCAGGACGTGGTACGAGCACCCCTCTTCCTGCCTCGAATGCTGTGCCGTGGCTGAGGTAAATGTTTCTGTCTGCACTCATGTAAACGTGGCGTCGGAGCTGCGATGCGTAGGACCGTAGGAAGCTTTCTATAGGCCGCTCGTCTCGAGCTTCGCTTCGCGGCGGCTCCTGGGATCCTTCGCAACAATGCCGGCATTCACCCAAGCAGATGCCAAACTCCTTTACCTCCTTCTGGGGCAATTTTTGGGAGTTGGGGGCTCAGGCTCGCAGTGCCGTGCGGCGCTATCAGACCGCGCCGCGTTGGCTGGACCGGCTTGGCAGACTTGAGGGCAGGAGTCTGGAGTCCAGAGCCAGGGAAAAAATCTGACACCAGGATGCTGTGGACCGCCTGGTGAATGCCACCCTGGCCGGATGCTCTGAGCCTCGTTGCTGCAGCCGGTGATGTAGACGAGCTGGAGCTAAGATCGACACCTGGCTCGAGAGCTTGGCCCTCAAGTCGTTTTTGCTCTGTCTGAACTGCTTTCCCTGGCTTGCTGAGGTCAGGAGGGGATGCAGCCTGCCCGAAGAAGCTTGCCCGAGGACATCCGATGGCATCCGGTGTCGACGTGTCATCATAGCTCCGTTCTAGTCAGGAGGGCCCTTGGCTGTCCCCAACACCGGAGGGCCAGCCCACGATTCCGGAGGCGGGGAGGTAATCAAGCACACGACAGCATGTCGAGCCAAAGAATGCTAACGCAACCGTCGAGTTTTTGCTGAGCGTGTGCCTTTGCGCTCGCTACAGCATGTGGGCTCAGAGCTGTGCGCTGCAAGATGAGTCCCGAAAGCAGTGTTGCACGCTCCAAAGGCGTGTCTAGGCAGCATGCGATCGAATGGGTGGATCGCTATGGCGAGGCCTGGCGCTTGCAAGACGTAGAGAAGATTCTTGAACTCTTCACGGACACTGGCCTGTACGTTGAGCGGCCCTATGACCCAGAGAATGGGATCTACCGGGGGCACGAGGGTATCAAGAACTACTGGATAACCCATATACAGGCACGCGAGAGGAACATCGATTTCCGGAATGTTGTGGAGGACCTGGTCTTCGATGACGCAACGCAGACGGCAGTTGCAAAATGGGAGGCTTCATTCGAGGTGCGCCAGTCCGAGGATCGTCAGTGGCGGCGGGTCCAATTCCTTCAGGTCGCCAAGCTGCGCTTTGCAGAAGATGGCAGGGTCTGGCATCTGGAAGAGCCACCTGGCAGCGGTTTCGTGGAAGAAGGGAGTTACGGCGGAGTTTTTTGTGTGGCTCGCTTTTGGATCGTTTTGGGCCTCTGCTCCAGCACCCACAGGTACTGGCACGGAAAGTCACTTCAGCGAGCCTCCAAAGGTTTGCGGGATCCTCGTGCCCGACGAGCTCGTGCTGGGCCGAAGCGGCGTCCTCCAGACCTGCGTGGGCGCACCTGCTGCCATGCAACGCTCTGCGATGCGGACCTCGGCCCCTTCAGCAAGGAAGCGCTGCGCCTGGAAGCTCGCAAGGCTCGGAGTGGGCCGAGCAGGCCAAAGGAAGGTGGCCAGGGCGGCTATACCACCTCTGCCCCCGCTGCTTCAGTTCAGGCGGCACAGGCTCCCTCCGTTGTAGTGAATGCGCTTGGAAAGCTGCCGGGTGCCAGTAAGTCTTCTGATCTGGTGGAGTGGTATCGGAACTTGATCTCGTCAGGGAAGCTGGCTGAGGAGAGTGACGTAACAGGTGCAGCCGTGATTGCCCCGTGGGGTATGCATCTCTGGGAGGAGCTGCGCCGTTGGCTGGATGTGGAACTTTCTCTGCTGGGGGCAAAGCCCTTTGCGGTCCCAATCCTCGCACACTCTGAAGGCAAGCAGTCCGCGGAAATACTGCGAGATGAGGTCGCGCAGCTGGAAGTGCGAACGGCTTGCGAGCCGCTCTTGTACAAGGTGATGGGCAAGTCCTGGGTAAATTCGGTCCGTGACCTTCCGATGGTGCTGACACGATGGGCCTCCGCGGTAACGCCGAACAGCACGAAGAGGCCACTGCCCTTCCTTCGAGGCCGAGAGCTGTATGTCCAAGAAGGACATGCAGCCCATGCTTCGGAGAAGGACACGTCGGAGTTCGCCGAGAAGATCGCTTCCCTCTACGAACGTGGCTAAGCTTAGGCTTAGCAAGGCTTAGCAGCTTGCATGGTCCGTTCAGTCTTAGCATTCTTTGGCTTTGAGATGAGTTGTAGCAGCCTCCGTCTTCCAAGGCCTCTGTGCGGAGCTCTTGGCCATTGCCCCGCGGAGTCGGAAGGGCAGGTCCTCGCTGGAAGGTCTGAAGACGTCGGTTGAAGTGAAGCTCAGCTCTGCACTCGAGTCACTCGAGTCACTAGAGACTAGAGATGGACGAGAGTCACCCAGAGAAATCAAGAAGAGCAAGCCGTTTCTCATCAGACGTCTTCACCGAGGGCGATTCCCGGTACGGGGACCTCCCTGGAAGTGGCGGCCGTGCATGAATTGGACGGCCAGCGAGCTTCAGGCTTCAACATGCGACACTTGGCAGCAGGCTGTCGCCTGTCGCTTCCTGCATTCCTCGGACTTGCGGGCAGCTGAGGATATTGCACAGCCGATTCGGAGGGGAAATGCGTCAACCACGACCTTGGGCTGCACATCAGCCCTGAAGTCGTTCCGAGCTGTCGCAGGCATCAAGCAGCCACCGTTGCATTCTGTGAGGCGAGCACACATGTCGAGCTTCGAAAAGTAGCATCGCAATGATGTGGACTTCCCAGGTGTGCTCATTGACAGCTTTCTCGCTCTCTTGCCGCGTGCTGGCCGCTGCCATTTGCGCTCACAGTAGCTTGGTGCATCTTATCCCTTGTTGGGTAAGGGCCGGGGTGGTCAAGACTGCAAGAATGGAGTATGCATTGGACACCACGCAGTTGACACACGAAACCGACATTTTGCTTAACTGCTGTCCGATTTGTCTTGCGAGTCAGGCGACGATGTCGGGATCGTGCTGCCGCCTCGATTAGCATGCGTGCAGGCTGGAGAGACCAGCTTCGGCTTGAAGCACAGAACCAGAACTGCACTGTGAAATGCAACACGACTGCCCAGAAAATCACGACATGACATGGCTCCACGGCTCCGGAGGTCATCATCATCCCCATGATTCGCTACGAAGACCGGAAAGGCGCCACTTGACAAGCACCTCTCGGCGGGAAACGAAGGGAGCGCCTCCGGTCCTGCCCCGGGCATGTCCTCGCGCTGAGCTCAGGATGAAGCCGGCCAGCGGTGCGTGAGACAGATCCTCGAGTGGTGCGAAGCGCTGGCGAACCTGCTGACATCTCCGGCGAATGCGGAGTCTGTGAGGGAGCCATGGACGGATCGCGTCAGGGTGCCAGACTCAAAACTGGTAAGGGGCAGCGCAGCGGCGCAGAGTCGAGGCTTCTCGTCCCTTCTTTCCCTCCTGCAGCTCTCAGGCAGAGACAGATTCGCGTGCCGACGTGACTCCTGGGAAGAAGATCCGGCATTGGCTCCTGCGCGGCGTGCCTTTGCTGCTCACTGCGAGGCTTGTCGGAGGCACTGCCTTGCAAAAGCTAGTTACCAAAGGCCAAACTGGATCAAGCGCGTGGCCGGTGAAGTCGTGTGTCCCCGTTGCACAAGGCGAGCCCAAACTGGCGCAAGCGCGCCTCACCGCCCGTGACATGCCAGGTGGAAAGGGTTACTGTATCCTGCCACAGAGCTCACCGAATGCCTGCAGTTCCGGGCAGGGGCCTGAACCCTCTCCTGCGCTTTCGGCCGAAAGGCGTCGACGTCCTGGGAAACCCGACTCTGGAGCCGGAGGCGGCGGCGGTGGCTGCGAGGCATCAGCTCGCGGAGCTTCACAGGCGGGGGAGGGCCTTGGCCCAACGAGTTGTGAAGGAGTGGTCTTTTTTGAAGCAGAGCAGCCATCCAATTCCGGTCGTTGTTTCGGTTGCTGAAGTTTGCTGACTTTTTCGATCTCAGCTTCCTTCCCGGATGAAACCTGACTCTGGACTCTCGATGCTCCTAGCTTTCTAAGTCAGGCGGCTGTACGTCCGGCACCAAGCTGCTGAAGAAGGACATCGATTTGCAAAGACTTTCGTTTATCAGTCATGCAAATTGCCATGTTTGCCTGCCCTTTTCTGGGCGTCCGGATACACAGGATGAGGCCTCTGCCTGTTACACGAGCAGGGCGAACGATGCCGGCTGACACGAGCGGCTTCGAAGTTGCCGACGGTGATCCGAGGGGCGATGACTTCAGATCCTCTGAAGACTTCCGTGCGGCTCGCTCTGGAGGAAAACTGGAGATCTGGTCGCCGTGCAGATGTTATATGCCGCATGGCCTTGAGCTTCCGCGTTGCTAGCGCGCAGATCCCGTCACCGCCCATGGTGGTTCTGCCCAGCCGACCGAGCCGCCGCCTCATTGGTCAGCGGGTAAGAACTGGGCTGTGTGATTGTTGCACCGTTGGCCAGACCCAACTCGATCGATGCGCGCTGAGGTGCTGCAATGTGATAGTTTGCTCCTCCGTGAGTGTGCAGTTGCAGGGGCACTCGAGCCTGCCTTGCGGCGGAACTTTCCTGGCACGAGTCATCTGTCAGTTTCACATTCCCCATGCGACAAAGCAATCCGCATCGGAAGTGCAGGTCGTCAGGATTTGCCTTTGTCTCTGAAGCCTTGGACGAGATGCCGTTGGCGCTGCTTCTGCTCAAGTCAATTGCAAGTCGGAGATCTTCACGGTTTGCGGCCCGCGTGTCGTGTGTGGGATTGTAAGCAAAGCACACTGGACACCACGCCCACGTTTGCTGACAACGACTTGGGCTCGTGACTGCTGAGCCCAGCAAGCCATCACATGGCGACCTTATCCTCATTGCCGAGATGTCAGCGGCAAGGCTTGGCGATTTCGCAGGACTTCTTGTGTGTGCATGGCAGAGCGCTGAGCGCTCGAGGATCTCAACTAGAGCTGTGAGGCACTTGTTCGTCACTCGCCAGGACAAGGAACCGTGCACGAGGAGCTTCTGTGGGCTGCTGCCGGCGGCATCGTCTATGGCAGCTTGACACGTGAATGATAACAGCGAAAGAACGCCAAAGTGGTTTATGTCTGGGTCTTACCTGAATGAGGTGCAACCGCCACTCTGCTGGGCCAGCCTCTGGACACCATCAAGACGAAGATGCAGCGACTTGCCGCCATGATGGCTTGGGGATGTGAAAAGGAGGAGCAGGATAGAGCAGGGACCTTCGTAGCTCAGGACTGATCGGCTCACCGGCAGAGCATCCGGTCGTCCGGGCACGCTGCAAGTTGCCCGCCAGATCCTGCAGACTGTCCCTCAGGAAGCAATCGGGCAACACTTTCTGAACCTTGTTTTAACAGCTTTTTGGTTGAAGCATGTCGCCAGGCCCCTGGGGTGTCCCGATCACCGCATCCAGGAACCCCATTTTTGCATGTGTCGGACGCCCGGGTTCTCGTTCATCCGAGCGAAACCTCACCTTCTTCCCCAACAGCGACAGCTTAGGGGTCGTCAGTCGAAATAAAGTCTGGAGCAAGGTCGGGGCAGGTTCCCGGGCAGGTTCCGGGGCGCTTGCCGGGACGGGTTGGGGGGGATTTCAGGGACTTGATCCTTCCTAATGGGATAGTTTTGTCTCAAAGTGCTGTTCTAGAATGTGGTAATCGGGACTCTACGCGTCTACTTTAGCTTTAGCTTGTGCGGCCAAGGCTGAAGGCCAGGCTACAGCAAGCATCTCTAGAGACGGCAGAGCTGCGGCAGCTTGGGGAAGTGCATGGTATCCTAGAGTATCATTCAGAGGTCTATGTTTTCGCATTGCCTACACGCAGTGACAAATTTCCAGAAAAGGGTTATGTTGCAAATAGTTCTCAGTAGTGGTTGAGCCAAACGCTTATGTCATCCGCGTTAGAAATCAGACAATGACGCCCAGGCTCACGAAAGGACAGCTGGCGAGCTTGCGCACTCCCGACCTGTTCGGAAAGTAGCTGGCTTCTACAGAGGTTCGTTGCCTGTCCTCTGTGGCTCCGTCATCTTCAGATCCGTGCCCTTTACAGTGTACTCGGGATCCTTGGCTCGGTGATTTTGATTTTCGTGGTCAGAGATGCCACCCGATTTGCTTCCGTGGACCCTCCCTCGGCTGAGGAGTTTACGCCTCCTTGCCAGCTTCCTTCGGAACCTTGGATCCCCTGCTCGGCGTCGAGGGACGGATCTGGCTCAGCGGCGCCGTAGCAGGATTGGGCCGCGCGGTGGTGGAGCCCCGCTCACTCCGAGTGTGCAGTCACCTCAGTCACCTCCCATCAAGAATCCGAGTGTGCGATCGGAGCATAGACCAGGAGAACCCCTTTGAGGTCTTGAAGACCCAGAAGCAGGTCAGGGGCCTGGACTACCAGCAAATCTTGAAAGCCCGGTGTCTTTGGCAAGGCGAGGCACCGTGACTGTGCTAGAAGGGACCTCATCCCACATTGTCCAGGCCTCTCTGCGACGTGCAGCCGCAACGTGGTCTTGGTCACGCTCTTCTTCGTCCTTTCTGTCGCTCGGTGCTAGAGTGAAATGCAGGAGGGGAAGGAAGCCTTGACGTCCCTCGACCGAGGACAGGTTGAACCGCTCCAGAGAGCTGGTAAACCTCCTAGACTTCCGGCAGCATCCCTTCTTGCGAGGCTGCATAGTGACAAGCTGCTGCCCCCCGGCATCGTGTTTATCGGCGCTTTGGCTTGACTTCTTTCCTTGTCTGGGAGCCTGTAGAGAATTTCTCCTTGGCAAGCAAAGCCAGTGAGTGCTCGACTAAGGTTGGCTCGTCGCTTGGCCGCTGGACGTGATAAAAAGCCAGCTGCAGAGCGAGGCCAATCGGACCGAATCGGCACAGCCAGCTCGGGATCTCCACCAACCTAGGTGCACCGGGTAGACTCGATTAAGCGATGCAGTGTTGCGAGGTGGTGGGCTCCCGGGCCGCGCTGGATGCGACAGGCAGTGGCTTCGGCTTTCAGCCAGATGGGCACAGTCTATATGTCTTATACGTGTCAGGGACTGGCATGATAGTCGTGCCTCGATGGGCTTGATATGTTGATTTTTCTGGGCCTGCTAGCGTTACAAGTTTGCCGAAGGCAATAATTCAACATCCGAAGTCAAGCCGAGTTCAGCGAGCCAGCCGATACCGCGAATCAGTACTCCAGCTCCTGCAGCAGGTGTTGGCAGACTCCGTGGACTGCTGGTGCGGGCGTGGCAGCAGGGACGATTCTATCGCGGTCTCCCTGCCGGGCCCCTTGCCTCAGCCAGGTAGCAAGGCCGATGACGGCACGGGGAACCCCAGGCGCTCACTCATACACTGGCTTACGTACACCCCGCCTCCGCTCACACGTGCTGAGGCTTCTTCGCGCATGCTTGGCCAACGGCGCTGCCATGTCAGCTCACCAGATGCTGCAGCAACTTCGAGCAGGCGCTGACGTCGATTCGCCCCGCCCCGGGACAAAATGAGGAATGCTATCAAAGGCCAGCCTAAAGAAACATCTTGGTGCGAGAGGCACCGAGAGCCTGAAGTCCTTGCCCTCCGCTTCCATTCTCAAGAGCCTTCGACATGATGGCAGTGTCTTCAGCCGCGCAACACAACAAAACTATCTGAGCAACGGATATGTATCAGTCCAAGTCAAGGAGAACACGCCACGCCTGAGCGGCCAGAGTGGAGCACACAGGCACGATCAGGCAAGCAAGTCCAAGCAGACACATCGGGGACCGGAATTGGCCGCTTGCGTGGCCTGTGCACTTCGGGCCGCGCTCCCTGGAATCATGTTGCGCTCTACGGGTTTCACATGTGCAGCTAGATCTCTCAAAGGACAGCGAGTATTCCTGAGGCCATGCTCCTGAAACCTTGTCACCTTACTGCGAGGCGCGCAGGGACCTTGGGATCATCGCAAGGTTGCAGCCGTGTCGGTGACGAGCGCAGGCCCACCCTGCCGCGGGAGAAGGCGCCTCCCTCGAGCCAGGCGTCGCTCAAAGCTTGAGGGAGTGCCACCCTGCCACTAACGTGCTTCAGGCAGATGCTGCGGCGACAACAGCGAGAGGGCCAAGGTTTCTGCTGGCCGAGGCCGCCGAATGCGCAAGAGCTTCGAGAGACTTCGAGAGCTCCGACAGGTGAGTTGCTCTGATCTGCTCTGTTCGGTTCACATCTGTCAGGGCTCGGAGATGGATGTGAGGGAGCCGCCCCGACAGGCGGGGCGGGGCCACCGGGGTTCGGTCTCTCTGAGGGTTGGGCTAAAGACCGAGACTGAAGCACAAGTATTTGTGTCTGCATGTTGGAGAGCTGCGTGAAGTGGCAGCGATCTGGGCGAGTTGTACAAGGTCACGAGTGGGAAAAGTGAAGATGAAAACAACGGAGGGTGGCCGAGATTGGTCCAGCAACACGAGAAGGAACGGAGAAATTCAAGGTCGACTGCAATCTTAAACCCAGCAGGACTTCAGGACTAAGGAAGGCAGATCCAGAGCTTAGAGACCAGTGAGAACGATTAGTCAGAAATCAAACTCAGACAGTCAGACAGGCTGGTGTTATAGTTTAGCTGTCTTGTGGAGACTTGCCTTTAAATGCAGATATCACAGGGGGATCAACTGTTGGCCACTGTTGGCATACTCAAACAGCCAGATGCTACAAACGGCTGTCTGTTTCCGGAGTCTTTCTTGCTGGGGTTCTCTGCGGAGGCATGGCGGGAGGCGAAGTTGTTGAGACCGCTCCCAGCGCGTTACACCCCTTTGCGTTGCTACGAGTGGCCACCGTCACAGGCGGGAAGCGGTCCTTCATTTTGTTGCAGCTTCTGTGGAGAGCTCCGTTTCATGGTCGCTTGCAGCAGCATCCCATCGAATGTATCCGCCAGAGGATGTTCACGCGAGAGTGTTGCACAGGCATCATGATGGAAAGCTGCAGGTGACATCGTCGACGGCCAACTCTTTGGCCGATGCAGCAGCAAAGAAGTGCGCGCGACCCCCGGAGATGCAAAGGCTGTCCTCGTCGGTTCACAGCTTCGAACTCGAACAGCCCCGCATTTCAACGAGAAAAGCCCAACGCAATTGAGTAGAACGACTTCCTGGTGCTTCAACTTCCGCCGTCAGCAACTAGCAGGGTGTGCCGTGCTATCCTTGGCGGCACAGTTTCGGTCCTTCTAGTTATTCTAGTTTCCGGTGAGGCGGCCTTTCGACCTTCAAAGACTCCCGGCTACCCCGAGCGCTTCAGCCGGGATCTCGGGCTCTGCCTGGTAGCAAGGAGAGTAGAGTAAAGGGATCCATGGCATGACGCAGGTCTGATGAACGAGTGCTTCGGCAATCGTGGAGCGCTGAGCACGTTCTCGGGTCGAGCTCAGTGCCTCCGAGATTCCGAGATCTCGAACAGAGGCGCCTTCAAAGTGCTCCCTCCCAGCTGGTCAGATCCAGGCATGGACGTCCACTAAACCCTGGAAGTGGGACCGCTTGGACGCTCCAGGCAGCCAGGAGCGGCCGTCGAGCAGGGCCTCGGCTCCAGCCAAGGCGCGCGGTGGCCGTTGGTTCCCGCGAGATCGCTTCGCTTTGTCTCATCGAGGTGACCGAGACGACTCCAACTCCGCGGAGCCCGGGCCCGGCGAGGCGGGGGCAGCAAGTTCTGCAACATCAGCTGAGAGGCGCTTCTCGCAGCCGAGGTGCCCATTGCACCTGGACGCCCTCGCTCGAGGTAAGCACATGCTGCTCTGGAGCGACGGTCCATGAAGATGCACGAAGAGAAGATGAAACTGAGAGCTACGTGCAGCCGTGCTGCTTTGGCCACAAGCTGCCGCCGTCTGAATGCTTTTACTGCAATGACAACTGAATTGCAACCATCTCGGTTGCCCCGAAACCGAATTCAGGTGTTGTGATCCCATCAGACACTACCTTCATTGCCTTACTCGCAAGAACTTGTGATCGACGACTGTCTTCTGCGCTGTTGCACCTGTGCTCTTGTGGGATTTTTCCTGCCACCTGTCTGCACGGAATGCTCCTCGCGAACCTCCGTTTGGGAACTCGAAGTCCGGCGGCCGCCCGCTTTGCACAGCAGCCGGGCTTCGTCATTGAGATCTCTTCCAACTATACTCTAAGGCTGTCCAGTGCTATCTTGTGCTTCCTCCCTACTGGTACGAGGTCACTGTGGGGGTTACGGACCAGGAGCCTCTTAAACCGGGCTACGCTGCAGCTGTCCGGCCTTCGTGAAGCGAAGGCGGCAGACCTTGGCAGACCCCGCTTGCAATGGCCAAGGCCATGCAGAAGGCCACACTCCGGAACCCAAAAGGGCCTCCGGTCGTCGAATGCCATGTTGACCGATTAGGATTAGGGGCACGGATCGGACAGGGGGAGCTTCGAAAGAAAACCCGGAACACAAGAATTTGGGCGTGTGGATCAGTGCTGATCGCTGACATGCCTCGAGGGGGACTCTGTGGATAGCAGGCGTTTCGGATCAAGGGGCCTTTGGGCCCCGGGGCCCCGGGGCCTGCCTGTGCTGTCAGTACATGGCAGGCGCTCGACTCTACGGTGGACCTGACTTCAGCAGAAGCTGCGGAGCTCAGCAATCCCACACCAGTGCTGGCACAGCCCTGGCAGCAGCGCTTGTGGCTGCGCCGCCGAAGGCCGACTTAGATGCGTCCAACAGGGACCGACTGTGGCTGCCGGCGAAGGCTGCCTGCACCTCCTCGACGCAAGCGACACTTCGCGACAATGCGTATCCCCGTGCACCTGGTTTCACTGGGAGTGCGGACGATGTTCCAACGCAGTGGCTCGCGGCACCGACGGTGCCCACCCCAGCTGAGCCACGACGGCGTCCATCCACCGGACGTCCTCAACGTCCTGGCCCTGGCCCCCCTGGCGGCCCCCAGGGCCCTCCCTCGCCGCTCCCTCAAAAGCCTCGAAGTGTTTTGCAGTGCTGAGCCGATCTGAGCGATGTTCCGAAAAGGCTGCGTGCGGCGCAAACGGACCCGGGCCACTCGGAGGAAGCAGTCCAGAACGGTTTGTTGCGGCCTCGACCTCCCCAACATTGCGCAGCTGAGGTGTGGGTCGGCCGGCTGGCATGCGCACGCCCAGGGCCGTACGGGCCAGAAGCTCAGTCGGAGGTTGCTTGTCCGGGTGGCTGCGATGGAATGCGATGGAGCTGAGGCTTGGCAGTCTGCAGACGAAGCGCTTGTGGCCGAGGTCCATTGCAAGGCCGACTCTGGGCAGCCTGACCAATTGTGTTTGAAGAGCTACGGCGCTACGGCTGCTTAGCTACTTCCACTTTGCTTTTCGCTTCCAAATTGCTCAGCCCCCTGGCGGCGGCCCGGACGTCGCCATGGCGGAGGTCGGATCCGCGCCCGGAGCCCGGAGCAGCCCGGGAAACAGCGCGGACGCTCCAGGATGCCGGCTGGGCGCCGAATCGGCCCTGCGCTGAGACCTTCTGACCGGGCTTGGCTCGGCCGTCCGCATAGTTCTGAGCTTGCAGCCCCCATGTTCGCAAGTTGAGGCAATTCCTGCCGGAGGAGCTCCGGTACAATCCTATCACCCACGAGGACGCATCGCCTGCTGCTGTTTGTGATAGCTTTCCTTGTGCCGGTCATGGTCATCCTGACGCATGTGGTTGTGTCAACGTTGCGATTTCTGGCACAGGTGGAGGTCTATGTGAATAGAGACGGCAATGTCCAAAAGTGCGAGCCGTCCGCCTGGCACCCGGCACCTGCTGTGTTTGCAGCCAGGAGGATAAAAAGAGTTCTGGTGCCGAGGCACACGAATATCGAGAGGCCCGGGAGGAACTCAAGGGCATGCAACATCGGTTCAGCGGATCAAAACTAACTACCCGAGTTAAGTTTTCGATTCAAAGGACGTGCCACTTTGACGGTCCAATAGTGCATGCGACCCAGAAAAACCTGCCTGTCAGATGGTGCGCCGCTTGGAGGCTGCCCCGCCCCAGAAAGGCGGGGCCCTGAAGCACAGACCCGTCTTGCCCGAGCTTGAGTGCCATGAAGTTCTCAATCGTCGCAAAGGCCGCCGAAAGGGATTGTCTGAGCGCTGATCTCAGCTGCGGGGAATCTGAGTCCTGGGGACAAAGAGTGAGTGCCGGGGCATAGGCAGTGCTCGCAGAGAAAGGTACTGTCTTAGTTGGTGCTGCACAGGTTCGTGGACCTCTGCTGTGCAGGGAGAACCCGGCCCAATCCTCATGTCAAGGCGTCCCAGTGAAGCTGGATTAATTTGAGACTGGGCGCCAGTCTTTCACCAAAATTGTTGATGCACGTTCCACTCTGGACAGGTTGCCTACGAGCACAATCGGAAGGTTTTTCAGAAACAGAGAGGTCCATGCATCTTGCCAAGACATGAGGTGTCTCGCTTGGCACGTGATACCTTGCGAGTCCAGTGTTTGACAACCTAGGCACCCACATGTATGCCTGGAGCTGAGTGCAGTGGAATGTTTCGCATGTGATATCATGTGATGCTTGTCGCAGCCTTGATGTCGGCTCATTGCATTCGAGGGCTAAGCTTGAGCTCCGCACGGCGATGTCTCAGGACATGGCCAAAGGCTACCCGGGAAACCCGCGCGTCTTTGAGTCGGAGCCCCAGCGGAAGCGGAGTCGCTGTGCGAGTCGTAAGCCGAGCCTCGTCAGGCCGGATCCTCGCATTTCGATGCCTGCAGGCGATTGCCTCAATAGCACGCAGAAACAGTGTGCTTGCGTCGTGGAACTGCGCCTGCAAGTGAGCGCCTTCGCAAGTGTTTGCACGAGGCCAGATTCCTAGACCGTGGACTCCAACGCCCACTCCCGTGCGGCCGCCGTCCGCGCCACCAGTGCGCCCACCTCAGTTTCTTGGATGGAGACGTCAGAGCACGTGCCTCTCTTGGACTGGTGTTGCATGGTGCTGCTGAGCTGCTGCCTGGAGCATCAGAGGCAGGGCGGCAACCGCATGAGGCGACCGCAGCCCGGCGCCAAGTCGCCGGTCGGGGCCGGTCGGGTCGGGGTCACCGTGTCGCCGGCGCATCGCCGCAAACGCACTCAGCCATCCTTCAGTGAGCCTTCTGCGAGGTCAGCCCGAACATCGGGAGCACGACCGCAGCCTCAGACGATTGCAGCCGCAAGCCCAGACCAGAGGGAACGGTAAAGCTTGCCTCAGATTCAGGGAGGATATTCCAGCATCGCACGCATCGAGTCCAAAATGCATCAACAGTGCCGCCTGCAAGCGATCTGCGAAGCCACGACCGATACTATGGTTACTTTGTCAATCTTCAAGTGCGTTAGAGGTGGCAGTGCATAATTTGGTGGAACCAGCCAAGCCCAGACTCGACCCAGGCTCCGCCCTCTGCTCTGGTAGCTGGTAGCTGATCAGAGGCAACACCGGGTTCCATTCCATTTTCGGAAGTGAGCCGTGTAGATGTTCGTGGATGCAAGTGGACTTGTGGAGATCCATGCCCAGCGAAGTCGATTGCTTCTGTCGCACCTCTCAGCTCCGCTGGCTTCTGTTGGTCTGCACGCCAGGCAGGTGGACTCTCTGTGCAAGCCCGACTACTTGCATCCACGAGCGAGCAGTCGTCAGCGCTTGCATGACAGAGTCTCTTGCTTGTTTCAAGACATCTATATCGGAGCATGCATGGTAGCAGATGTTTCACAGGCCCTGAAGTGCCCAAAATCTATCCGTCGGAAACACCTGGCGTGTTCTGATGGTGCCGGCACGGAAGGAGCCAATGTTAACCACACTTTGTGCAGCCGCCCAAGCCATTTCGGGATTGCTAGGGCCCATGTGGTGCTCTCGAGGCTTCCGCAGCTGGGCGGCAGTGCAGTAAACGAGAAGCCTGGCATGGCAAAGCCAGCTTGAGCCACCATTTTTTGACCAAAGCTTGTCAAGTAGAAGCTAAGCCGAGCGATTGTCTTTGCCATGGGAAACCTCGGAACAGGGAAGGGGCGGGTGGTAGAGCGTGGAGCAGCTCAAGAAAGGCAGAGCTTCAAGGTGTCCTAGGTCCTAGGTGCTTCGGAGCATTCGTCTCAAAGGGTTTCCAGATTCAATGTGCTCCTGCCAAATAGTTGGATCTCTCAAAGCCTTGCACTAGTTGTTGGTAGATTGGGCAGGGCTGTCCCACGACATCACCAACTCACTGCAGAGTTTCGGGTGGAAAGACCGGTCTTTCCAGCTTACATTGGCATGTCGGCTAATCTCGGGGACCCTAGGCTTACTGTTGCGCCGTTGGACGACAACGGGCGATGCAACAAAAAGATCCTAAAATCATCCGCTGAGCCCAAAGCATGTAAGACGGTAAGAGTGTGTGCAAAGAACAGCTTCACTGGATTCTATATTGAGTGTGTAATTTGCGCCGCCCGAGCATTGCGGCTCCAAGCAGATTCTTGCTTCAGGCTGTCAGCAGTGCTGAGCCTTCTCAGACTGCACCTAAGCAAGACTGCATTGCGTTGAAGTTCCGTATGTGATGGATCGGTCAAGGACTGAACGGACCGAAGCCATGACCAGTCATGCCATCATATGCCATCTGAATCTACTGAGCTACTGCACAATTTCTAGCTCTGCTCATGTTGACAAAAAAGATCTTTAGGGGAGCGGGTGCCTGACTCCCTGATTTTCCACTACTTTTCCAGGGCCAGCTGCCGGTCTGGACCTTACCAGGACTTTGACATCGGAGACGTATCCGTGCAGAGTCGCTACCGCTAAGGCCCTGCATGCACCGGCCGAATGGCCAGAAACCCAAGGACGGAGTTGTTGTGAGCACGTCACGCAGCTCGAACATGACACCAGCATAGCGCAGGCTCCCCTTCTCTCCGTGTCCAAGCGAGCCGATGCAGTGGCCAGGAGAGGCCAGCCCCGACTACAAATCAGCTGGTCACCTTCGACGCCCAGCTGGCAAAGCAGCAGGCCCAAAGTAGGCTGCAGATGCTCCGAACGGACTGTTCAAAGCTATAGCCACGCCATTCTAGCGAGCAGGGGTTGCATTTGTGCAATGTGATCGCGCTCTGCAGGCATCTACGCAGATCACGTCGGGATAGTTACCATGCGCTGCTGTTTTTGGATGTTTTTGGGTCGTAATTCGTGTTTGTCAAGGGTTCTTGTTTGGTTTTGGGTGCTCATGATTGTCTTTGGCTCAATTCGACATTCCGTTTTGGGCTGCCTGCTCATTCACGATGGCTCACATCGTGGGTTAGATCCTTCACGGCCCGTCTCAGAGCTCCCTCCCGTTTAAGCCAGCCTTCCTCAGCTTAAGTTTAGGGGCATCGGACTCCTTACTCTAGGTAAGTTTCCCCCGGGCGTGAAGGCCTTGAGGCTTGGTTCAGGGGCCCCGAACGCCTTCGCCGCGCCAGGAGGAGGCGCAGCTCGCAACTTGCCTTTCCTTGTGTGTCAGAAGACATGGAAGTTTCCGAAAACTAGGGATACTTTATTTTGGGGTCCTGAACAAAGGATCCTACTATTTAGAGTACTATATTATTGTGCCCTATTTTCGGAAACTCCCACGTGGCGGCTTAAGTAGAGAGAGAGGCCTTGCCAAAGCTGAACCGAGGCGAAGGAGCGACCCAAGAAGAACGACTACCTGGATGTTTACACCGGTCCGAAGGTGAAGTGGGAAGACACGGGCCTGTATAAGGCCCTTGTCAAGTCCCAGGACATCGAGGAAGAGCTTACGAAGATCCGGAATCTGATCCGGAAACGCTGCTGGGCTGGCTTAGGGGGCAAAACCGGCGGCCCTCCCTGCGCAATCCCATGTTGACAAAGGCGGGCGGTTTAGTCCTTCATATTCATATCTGAGGAACAGATCCCGGCTACGAGCCTAACGATGAGGAGGACTTCAAGGTGGCGCCCATCCGGAAGTTCGACTCCAAGAATGACTACTACAAGCTGCTAGAGGTGGATGACTTCGCATCGGTCAAGGACATGGGCATTCCGGGTCGACATGCACCATGGTGTCTGTATCCCAGGATGAAAGTTGTGGCTTCTGACTCAGTTCTTATACGAGGGGCAGCATAACTTTTTTCTTTTGATGGCAGTGGCGTCAGCGACTGGCAATTCGGTGCTATGCTGGTGGCTGAAGCATGCTTTCCAGGTCGGTAAGTAAGCACAAAGAAGCTCTCGTGGTGATGAAGGGCAGTAGGTAATCCGAGACGATGCTTTCTCCTTTTGCCTCATTTGCTTGCAGACTGGAGGACATCAAGGGTGCCTACAAGCGCCTAGCCCTGCAGTACCACCCGGACAAGAACAGGGACAAGAAGCCCGACAAGCTCCGGGAGATGCAGGACGAGTTCGAGAAGATCCAGGAGGCTCCTAATGCTGCAGTGAGAACTCTGTCATCTTCTGATGACTGTCGAGCCTGAAGGAGTCTAGACTCTAGAGACTCCGTTTAAATGGCGAGCACAAATTCCTGAGCCCTCCTAAACCCAAGAGGCGTATGAGATCCTCTCAGATCGCGCCACGCGGCGGCAGTACGACCGCGCCCGCTTCGACGAGGCAAGAGCCAAGTCCCAGGCAGGGGCTGGGTGTCAGCGATTTGGAGCCTGAAGGCTTTTGGGGGATTTGGGGCGCCCATTATTGGTTGAATCGCGGTCTTTGCTTTGCAGGGGATGAACTCCTCCTTCTACTCGCAGAAGACGAACAGTGACTCGAACTTCTGGGGTCGCTGGTCCGGGAAGAAGGAGGGCCGAAGCGACGGCGTCAACGCACAGGATCGACATGCCCACAAACGTGCCCACAAAAATCCTCCTGGCCCTGCGCATGGACACACTAGTACTAGTACCACTCCCACGCTCACTTCACCTATCACTCCACTTACCGCCACCACCACCACCACCACCACCACCACCACCACCACCACCACCACCACCACCACCACCACCACCACCACCACCACCACCACCACCCACCACCACCACCACCACCACCACCACCACCACCACCACCACCACCACCACCACCACCACCACCACCACCACCACCACCACCACCACCACCACCACCACTTACCACCACCACTCGCCACCACCACTTACCACCACCACTTACCACCACCCCACCACCACCACCACCACCACCACCACCACCACCACCCCACCACCACCACCACCACCACCACCACCACCACCACCACCCACCACCACCACCACACCACCACCACCACCACCACCACCACCACCACCACCACCACACCACCACCACCACCACCACCCCACCACCACCACCACCACCACCACCACCACCCCCCACACCACCACCCACACACCACCACACACCACCACTTACCACCACCACCACTTACCACACCACTTACCACCACCACTTACCACCACCACTTACACCCCACCACCACCCCCACCCACCACCACCACCACCACCCACCACCACCACCACCACGCAGCCACCACCACACCACCACCACCACCCCACCACCACCACCACATCCCACCACCCCACCACCACCACCACCACCACGCACCACCACCACCCCAACCACCACCACCACCACCACCACCACCACCACCACCACCACCCCCCCCACCACCACCACCACCACCACCACCACCACCACCACCACCACCACCACCACCACCACCACCACCACCACCACCACCACCACCACCACCACCACCACCACCACCACCACCACCACCACCACCACCACCACCACCACCACTACACACCACCACCACCACCACCACCACCACCACCACCACCACCACCACCACCACCACCACCACCACCACCACCACCACCCACCACCACCACCACCACCACCACCACCACCACCACCACCACCACCACCACCACCACCACCACCACCACCACTGCTGGGTATCCCGTCCGAAGTCCCCCCTTGGCCAGGAGGTTCAGAACTTGCTGAAGTCCAAGGCTCCGAAGCTACCGAAGGCCGCCGCCCTCCGCTTGGAGATCAAGATCTCCCTGGAGAAGGCCCTGAGAGGCAGGATCCGAAAAGCGTCAGCGAGCGGTAGTAGGAATCCTTCAAAAAAAGTCAGGGCGGTAGTGGTGATCGTTCAAAAGGTCGCTGTCCAGGGCAGAAGGAGGCGCTGTGAGCGTCCTGTTGGGGCTCGGGCATTGCTGCCGGCATCCTCTTGAATGTGAGGTGGCTTGAAGATCCGAGAGGTCAAGCGGGATCGGATGCAGCGGGCCTTCGGGGGCACGAATCAAAACCTCAAGACCGTGAACATCAAGATCGACCCGGGCCAGGTGCGTTCTCTTCAGATCGGGGCCCTGTCGATCCGCGCTGTGTTGCGCTTTTTGCGTTCGCGCTTTTTGCGGCCCCTGTCAGGCCGACGGGAGCGAGTACCGCTTGGAAGGAGATGGCCATTGGCCAAGCTTCAACACCACTCCAGGTGACTTGGTCGTCGTCTTCAGGCACAAGCCACATGCATTTCTCCGGCAGTCCAACAAAGAGACGGGTGCCCTGCAGCTGGCGATGCCGCTGACGGTCCGTGCAAAGGCCACGGACCCGGTGCTGTCTGCGTGGTCGCCGACCTTCAAAGGAAGTATGGTGTTAATACGATTCCAGAACCCTTTGCTGAAGCTGGCGCCGAACAAGGCGTGTAATGTCACTTTTGTGATCGATGGTGAGGGTTTGCCGGTGCCCGGAGAACCCACCCGTCGTGGGCCCCTTGGTGTGACGGTCCACGTACAGTTGGATGGCAACCCACTGGTGCCATCAATGAATGCACCCTGCTGCAAGGATGTCGTGGCGAAGCGACATCTGAAGAATTACAACCACCAAGCACACCTTAGGGTTAGCATGTCAAACCCTCGTGCTTCTGGGTTCCCCGTGCGGAAGTTCGTAGCCGGAGATGCCAAAGAGCGCGGGGGGCTGCGTCTCGGGGTGGCCTCAGTGGCAGTCATCTGGGAGTCGGCGCCGGGAACGGATCCGGTTGCTTTCGGCAAAGCCGCGGCAGCCCTGGGCCATCAGGCCCAGCTGAATCCTCAAGGCTACGGCTGGTGCTGCAACACCGGGCTCCTGAGACAGGCCCTGCCAAACGCAGGCACCTTGGCTGAAGGGAGGAGAGGGATTCTGGGCCTGAGCACATCTACACTTGCTTGTCCTTGAGTCTGCAGGCCATGTGGCTCTGGCCGACGAGGAGCTGGCGAGCGAGAGCGAGGACGAGCGGGCGAATGGAAAGAGCCAGGAAGTTTTAAAGGCGAGCGCAGGGCAGCTCACAAAGCAGAGGCGTGTCCGGAAGCCGCGGCCAGAGGTGGAGAGATTTCTCCTTCGCTTCAACCTGGGCCCGCCAGAAGGTTTTCCAGATGCCTCCACGGACGAGGAGGCGGAGGAGGAGGGATCCTGGTCACCAAGCTTTGCTGGCCAGCCGGGCCAAGCGACCGCGGAGTTGAGGGTGGACGATGAGAAGGAGGGGGACGAAGAGGCGGAGCTTACCCGACTCATACGGGAGAAGCAGAGCCAATCTTCTGCAAAGAGGGAGTCGCTGGTTTTTGTTTGGTTGACGTTGTCTTAAAATACGGTAAGACTCAGAGAGAGGCTAGCGTCTAGCGGCTAGTCCCCGTGCTTCTCTGAGGCGAGCTGGAGGCTGCAAAGCGACGGTGGTCCGAGAGGAAGGAGCGCCAGCAGGGCGAGCGCGAAGAGGAGGAAGGCCTCCTCCGAGAGCTTTTGGAGAAGGACAAGAAGCGGGAGCTGGAGCGCGTCGAGCGCGAGATGAACGGGTGCCTCGATGGCACTGGGCAATTCCTCAGACAGCGCCCTGGGTTCACCTGAACGCTCTTTACGGGGGTTTGGGGGCTTGGCATTGGCCTGATTCCAGCCCCTTATTCCGCCCTTCAAAGGGGAAGCGAAATTGAAAGTCCATTTTCTGTGGAAGCACTGTCGGATTCTGGTGTCCGGGAGCTGGCATTCGGAGTTCCAAGATTTATGGGCCTTTATGGGTTTGCACAAGCTTATCCGGCCTCTTTCGCCTGCCCCATGACATGTTTTCGCTGCAGAATGATGCCCGCCGAATAAGCATGTGCAATGTTGTGGCCACTGCGGCGTAAAGCTGAAACCGCCAAAGTGACAGCTCTTGCGTTTGCCTCGCACTTGAAGACTCCTTCTACCCAGCACGAAAAGCACTGTAAGACCTTGATTTCTGAATTCGTCCGGTGCGCTAGTGCTTTGTTCGTCGAAGAATTCTTGAGCTTGGGGCCACAACCTCGCGACCGCATTGGACACGCAGGCCGTGTCCACGCACCTAGCTCGTTTCGAGGGCGGCCTCTCTTGCGCAGTGGAAATCTTTCTCTCGCGACAACGCCCTCAAGATCTTGCGGCATTCTGGTCTTTCGCTCCGAATGGTCGAAGGTATCCGAGTGTAGTAGTAGGCTACATGCCGGTGTAATTTGCAAGATGCTCAGAGTCACCACCCCGTCCGCCCTGCTTGTGAACACTCCTTGTCAAGTAGCTGATGCCAACCGTACATAAGATTGTGGCCAAGGCTGCGCTCCACCTTCGAGTTTCAGCTACAAGCTGCAGCTTGCCGCAAGCTTGCCGATTTTTGGGGTGCCTGGTGGGATTTTCTCAGCTTTCAATGCCTATAGACGATGCAAGCTCTGCGAGCTTCATGACGCGATCTGACTGAGGAAAAGAAGTGGGTGGACGAGTTCATTTCCACCAACAACTACCAAAACCAGTGGGTTTGCGCCTGGCACCCGGCCCGGCACGGTTTCCGTGACTGTTGCCGAGCCTTGCGCGACCGAGGTGTTCAAGCCAGCAATGGTGATCCGCAAGAAGCCCGCAGAGGATGGCATGCAGCGGGTGACCTACAAACCACTGCAAGCTCTTGCTGTCAAGTCGTGGAGTGAATCGCAGGACGGGCCGATTACTCGCCGGATCATGTGCGACGAGGTGATTAAAGCGAAGGGCAAGGTCACCGATGACTACTGGAAGCTCGGCAAGAGCCAAGATCGGTTAACATTGCAAAGGTCTCGAGCCATCCGGTGTTGCCTCAGCATGGCTTTATCTCGGCACTGATACCGTCATGCCTTCGAGACACTCACACAAGTCAAGTTTCATTGTTATTCGCAGTAAGCTCTAGCCGCGAAAGATGCTGCTCAATACACTTGCTGCTGATGCTGTGACGTTGGTGATGACGATGATGATGGTGATGACGATGACGATGATGATGGGAAGGAGAATGACATTCCAAAGTCTTAGCAAGCATGGCGCAGTCGGACAAGCTCGGCCGCATACTTTCTTGAGGATTCAACTTGACACTGATGAGTGGGTGGGGGACTCAGTAGTGTTCAGAAGTCACGCTGCTGACCGGCATGTGGCTTTCGATGTGTTGTCAATCCGACTCCTTTCCAAAAGCCGCACAGCTGGCAGTTTGATGGTCTCGATTCTGCGGATCACTTCTCAAGTTACTTGGTCTCTAAGACGAAGCTCATGCAAGAGAACACACGCTCTTCATCCAGCTCTGGCGGGTAAACTTGCCAGCAGTGCAAGCACTGAATTTTCAGAGCCAGCGGCACCTCAAGTAAGGACCAAAGTCCCTAGTGCCCTGCTTGTCCACATCTTCTCGGGCTCTTCGCCTGGGGAGAGCTCAAAGCTCAAGAAGCAATGGGTCGGCGAGCCTTCGAAAGGAGAGGTTTCCCTGGAATGCTGTGACAAGCTTCGGAAGAGCACGAAATCCGGCACCAGGTGTGTTGGTGGGGTCACAGCTGTGGCGCCAAGTGCAGAAACGTCAGCATCGTGCCTTCGACCGGACGAATCTTGATGAGGTATGTTCTATTCCAAGAACTCGGCGATTGGTTTGCTGTTTGTGACAGTGACTCACATACAGATATCGCACAAACCAATCGCTGAGTTCTGGGCAAAGACTCAGCATCGCACTCGCTCGACGGATCTTGCTCAGGTATGGTATGGTTGTTTGCCAAGAACTCTGCGATTGGTTTGCTGTATGTGACTCACATACACATCTCGTGCAAGCCAATCGCAGAGTTCTTGGCAAAACAGACTCATGCACCCGCTTGCTCGACGGACCTTGATGAGATATGGGTTTTGCCAAGAACTCTGTGATTGGTTTGCTGTATGTGACTCACATACACATCTCGTGCAAACCAATCGCAGAGTTCTTGGCAAAACAGACTCATGCACCCGCTTGCTCGACGGACCTTGATGAGATATGGGTTTTGCCAAGAACTCTGTGATTGGTTTGCTGTATGTGGCTCACATACACATCTCGTGCAAACCAATCGCAGAGTTCTTGGCAAAACAGACTCATGCACCCGCTTGCTCGACGGACCTTGATGAGATATGGGTTTTGCCAAGAATTCTGTGATTGGTTTGCTGTATGTGACTCACATACACATCTCGTGCAAACCAATCGCAGAGTTCTTGGCAAGATGCAATGACTGATGCAGCCTCGCGCTTGCTGGCCCTGTCCCTGGTTGCTCTTTTCGCTTGTGTTGCCGCTTTGCTTGAGGATAGTGCAACTGGCAAGTGATTGACAAAGGTCCCGATTGCCTCATACTGATGCGATTCTTTCGGCAGTATCTGCACGTTGCAGCTTGACGCAGTGTGGCCAAATGAGTCAGACGTGAGGGTTCCCCCGCGACATCGTGGAGTGTGCGAAGCTCTCGCATCTGAGCCGGACATGGGCGGCTTCAGACTCGCCGAAGCTGGCAGGGCCAGCACTTCACTCCAGTTCGTGGCTAAGGTAGTCTCGTGGCTGGAGGGTCTCGGACAAAGTCCTTATTAGAGCTTTTCGACCTGACGGCCATCGCCCAAAGTGGTTTGCAGAACCAGGCAGCACCCGCACACGACAGGGTTTCGTTTCGATCTGTGGCTTGGGAGAGGAGCATGTAGAGCACACGTGTAAGCCGGAGGCAGAGGCAGAAACGGTCACGTCCCTATCCGAGGCCCTCACATGGCACAAGGTCCATGGCCAGCTGCTGCAGCGCTGGCTCCTGGGCTCGCACAGTGTGCAGCAGGAGTCAGCTGATATCTTCAGCCACTGAGGTTCGGGACTGAACAGCAGCGGTATCTCGATCTCCAGGCCTGGCTTCACTGCAAGGGAGCACATCACGCACCGATTTACCAATCGAGACGCTCAGGCCAAGATCGAGGAGAGGCGCAAGGCGTGCTTGAGGGATTTGGGCATCCGTTCGCTCTTACATCTCTTTTCTTGGTTCCTTGTATCATCTTCGTCTCTGCGTGAGGGCCGCAACGAGACTTTTGTGGCCTATCGAAGGAAGCCACTCGGTTCGGCCATTGGGATATAGGAGCCGGAGCGTGGTTGCGTGAGCTTGTCAGCTTGTCTTCAAGAGTGAAGAATCTATCAAATGCTGTCGTCACTCCAGTCATACATCGTATTTAGTTTTGACTACAATGGAAAGCCCAAGAAAGATATCAGCTGAGGAAGAAGGAGATTGAGCAGTGGAGCATCCCACCGGGCCCGTTGGGCCCTCGGCGGGAGTCGGGCGGAGTTTCGCAGCCATCACTGCCTGCTTCTGCTCGGGAGTTTCTGCCTGCAAAACCCAGGTCCGAGGAAGAGAAATGCGAGCTGGAGGACGAAGAAGGAGAGCAGCTTCACTTCGTGATGGAGCCGGTCCTTAAAGAGATGAAAGACTACAAGAGGCCTGGCAGGGACAGGGCTGGCTTGCTTTCTTCATCTATCTATTGAGTCTAGTGCATCTGCTGCTGCTTTTGCCGCCGCTGGAGCTGATGCAACTGCTGCGGTTGTGCGACTGCGATTGGCAAGTTCGACTGCGCCGACAACAGCGGTTCTTCTTCCGATGTCACGCTCAGAACTGTGCCGTAAATCGTAATTACAAGGACCCCAAAATACTTACCTTGGGTTAGTAGGGAATGGAGGAATGGGGTACAACCGTGACTACTATTACTACCATTCTTCCATTCCCTACTAACCCAAGGTAAGAATAGGTATCATGAGTCCTAAACCCTAAACCCTAAGCCCTAAATCCGTCCTGGTGTCCACCGTCGTGCTTCGCCGCTCCAGGCGCCTCCGGGAGCTTCGCCAGAAGCGCCCGGAGCCCTAATAGTAATGATCAAACTCATGATAGTTTTTGCAAAAAATAAAGTAATGATAAACTATGATGACGATATGTCCGGAGCTGTACCGAGGCTTCGAAGCCGAAGCCGAGAGGCAACGTCGCGACGCTGGAGCCGAGGTGGGCCGCTTACGCTTTGGACATGACACGCTTTTGGATGCATCCATCGGAGTTGCACCGGTGCACCGGTACTCGCACAAGCCAGCAAAATCGCTCAAGTGATAATTTCCGTGGGCTACCTTTTTGGCTCGAAGCGTGCCCACTGGTTTTTCAAAAAGTCAACGTGCCTCTCGCAACCCTTACGCTCGCAGCGCTGAGATGCCGTGCCTCGTGGACTTCTACGATTGCCTGCGTGCCTGGGCCAACCCAAAGTCTGTCGGCTACCCACCGTGGAAGAAGGGCAAGCTCGACTGCCACGAATACTACTACGAGGAGTTTTTGACCAAGCCGATGGCCGTGCAGCAGAAGGGAGGGCACTGAGAGGGAGAAGTGAGCCCTTGGCTTGAAGGCCTCGGTAGATTTTGTCCGCGCAGACTGCCCGCAGGGCAGGTAGCATCAGGACGACTCCCACGATCTCGATTGTCTTGATCCAGTCCTTTAGAAAAGAGCGCATGCTTCCGACTGCCTGGGCCTGGATCTTTTGCTTCGCGCTTGCTCCACTCCATCTATGAGTCCTCTGCAGGGTCTCGCGGCCGCGCCCTTGCCGGCGGGCTTCGAGGCGGCCCTGGGCGAGGAGGCGCAGGCGCCGCATTGCTGCGCGGCTGCGCTTCCGCTCTGCCTCGCCTTTTTGCACGCAGATTCCTGCATGAGGCAGAGGCGCCGGAAGCAAAGGCAGAGACCGAGACGACCGAGCAACGGCCGTGGGAGGACCGTCCACCTTGTTTCATGTTGCCGGTATTATTCTTGAATGCGCTTCTTGTGTCAGATGGATGCGGCGCGCGAAAGAAATTTCAGTGAGCTCCTGAGCTCAAGGGGTGTAGCGACAGGAGACAAAGCAAGCCGCAGACAAAGCCTTCAAAGACAAGGCTGGCTGTTGTGAGATTTTAGTCTTGCTAAAGATTGCGACAGATTCACTTGAGGATGCGTCTTGGTCAGGAATGGAATACGGCACTCTCACTCTACGGTCAGGCAGGGGTGCGGCATGCAGTGGACGTGCAGCTTGACTGCTTCTGCACTCGTTTCTGTGACTTGCCATCGCCATCGCCCGAAACCGTCAAGAGCCGAACAAACCAAATCACAGGCTCTGGAACTCGGTGGTGATGGTTTAGAGTCCGCACAGCGCGCCACTTTGATGTCAAATCGGGCAGCTCGGCTTGCACGGCCAGCAACATTCCACCAGGCGCTGGCTTGAGAATGAGACATCCGTCCGATCCGTCCTAGGCGCTTGTGTTTGCGAAGCTCTTTGACTGGGCGAAGAGCCTGGAAGATGCGGTGGCCCCTCTCTCGGAGTTTGGGTCACGGCGGTGAAACTTTCTTTCAGCTTTTCCTTTCTGCCGTGGCCAGGACGCAACGATCCAGGAGCCCGACTGGCCCAAGGCCCTCTCCTCTGTTCTAACTGCTGGGTCCCGGGCAGGTCTGTAGACTCGTAGACGAGTCGTAGAAGCACCATACACCAGTTTGTAGCGGCAGGGTGGCGGGCTCGAGGCGCACGTTTAGTTTTCAAGGTCTCTCAAAGAGAGATGGTGTGCCTAGCATCCTTCAAGTATGTGTGCGAGAAGCCGCTCACCCTAATGGGGTGCAGCATCCTCCTCAGCTTGGTCGTGCCGATCGTGGCGAGGCTCGCAGGGAACAATGACCCTGATGAGAACTCGATTTCCCACGTCTTTGGGCAAGGGTCCATTTGTGTGGCCATGGATTTCCCGGGTTGGGCGGAGGCTGCCACAGTCATGTTCTTCATCACGGGCCTCATGCACGGCTATGCCATTTTCAAGTTGTCTCGCCACTGCCAGAGCGAATGGCAAGGGAAGTGGAGCAAGAGGGGCCTCCTGGCTGTCGCGGCCTTTGTAACTTTCACCACGAACTGCTTCTGGCTGGTGGGCGTCTTTAACCCCGTCCTTAGCCACAGCGTGGACACCGTCTTCGCGCACAGCATTCCATACGTTGGCCTCCAGATCGGCTTCTGGTGTTGGGCCATCTTCCTCATGGCCTTCGTGCGCCCAGAAGAGGTGAGCAAATGCCGCATGGTGTCCTGGTGCCACGGCCTTGAAGTAAACATCCCTGCTCTAAGGAGGGACTCTGAGTTGATCGGGTGTACGTTGTGTACGTGGTCTGAGTCAGGCTCCTGTGCATGTTGCTTGAAACGACAACACTGACTTGCAATTGAGGTGAGGCGCAGTCATGTGTGGTCCGTAGCCAAGGTACGTCTTCGGCGGGCTCTACGTGGGTTTGCAGGTTTTTCTGCTCGTGATGATTTTTTGGACCTTCGCCGAGCTGTCCCAGCCCGGTGTCCAGCTGACTGGGGCTGACCGCTACAAAGGCCCGATGCCTCGGGGTGCCAGCTGGATTCCACTGTCAGAGCCGGTGACCCTCCTCTGTCGCCTCTGCTTCTTCTTCCTGCATCCGCTGCGCGTGGAGTCGAAGGGCGAGGAAAAGGGCGAAAAGGTTGAGAAGGACGGGAAAGAAGCTTCGGAGCTGCAGCCATGAATTCGGGTGCACGGTACACCAAGCACTGAGAACTCAGTGAGAAGCTGTTGAGTACTCGTACGGCCTTCTATGCTGGTGGTACGCCAGCCTGGTGTGTGCCACAGCACCAGAGTGTGCAGTTCCAAAAAATTCCACACATAAAGGCTCGCATTCAGACTAGTTTGTAGTGATGAGTAACCGGTCAACATCGCTTGAACAAGCCCGAACTGTGGGTTCATGGCTGACTGGCATGATTTTTGCAGTCAAGAGCTCGGAATGTACGACGGACGCAGGGCTGGTTGCGGCGGGCCACGGCTGAGCTCCGACTTTCCAAGAATCGCGAGGTGCTCCTCAGTTCACGAGAGCCGGGAGGGGCAGGGAGGGTTAAGACGGTTAAGACGTGGGCATTTACTGATGCTCTGTAAAACACAGATGTGCAACAGTGGGGTACAGTATGTAAGCGGAGGCTACAAAGTCAGCTAGGAACGTCAGATCACAGGCCTCCATTCAGTTGTTTTGGTGCGACCAGTCGTGGGCTTGAGGCTGAGGCCCTCGGACGGGCAGCATGGGCTCTGCGTAGAGTCGGGAAAATCCGAATGTCTTGTTGTAGACCACGGTGGCCCCGTCCAAGGCGTAATCGCACCACGGCAGAACCCGAACCCCTATGCCCTCCCGCGCTGCTTGGCCAGGCCTTGACCTCCCTCAAACGGGGCTTCAGCTGTGCTGGAAAGACGGTGCAGCTCTGAGAGAGTTGAGCGAAGAGCTTTCAGCACCTGCAGATGTCTGATGGCAGGCAGGTCAATTCTTGACTTTGGCAACGGAGTGCGAGGCGCATCCGTGAGTGACCAGAGGTTCGGCGGATTCCGATGAGCCGTTCTGGCCGGCCTTCCAGAGCAGGCTGCCCTCTACAACGATCGGGATGGTGGGGACGATCCGGATGCCCCGGTGTCGGCCGTCGAGCGGATCGAGAAGTTCAAGGAGGCCTCAAAGCATACGAGAAGCCCAAGCAGACTGGAAGTCAGGTGCAGCATGAAGTATGCTTCTATTTCAGAACTCGTGAAGGGCGCCTCCTTGGCCTTCAAGCAGGGAACTCATGGGGTCCGGTGCCCGGAATTGAACTCATTCCGTCGCCGAACTGAAACGTTGCTCCTGTGAAAGAATAGGGTCACTGGTTTTTCAGCTCAGGTGGCAGTCTTGCTTTACACCAGGCCGGACCGGGCCGGGGCCGGGACTGCAGAGGGCGGTTTCTGCGCTTGTTGGGGTCCTTCCTAATTGCGACTCCGAAGGGCTTTGTACCACCGCTCCATGATGGAGTCCAAAGACGAGGACGGCCGTTGAGAGGCTGCTGCTGGCCACGTTGGCAGGGCATGGCCTGGCCTTGGCAGGCCGTCGTCCTCTCGAACCGGGCCGCTTGCTTCTTGAAGCTGGAGCTGCCCAAGGAGGCTACTTGTGCCTCAGCCGTCTGTGAAGGAAAATGGGGTTTCCGAAACTTCAAAATAGGGATCCTACTATGTGGGGTACCATATTAGGGTCCCCTATTTTCGGAAACCGCCACAAAAATCATGAGTGGGTCGCTGGGCAGGCTTATGCAGACGCCATGGCTGCATCGGAGAAGGCTTGGAGGGGGTTGGTTGGAAGGTATCCAAGAAGCATTCGCAACTCGTCGCGACTTTTTCCTCTGGCAGCGCCATGATTGCTACTGTTAGTTTTCTCCCTAATGCGACGTGCGATGCAAATATTAGTTGTAAACAGATTTCGTCTGTTCTGTCAGCAAAGCCGCTGCGGCTTTGGCTGTAAGAGCAGAATGACTTCGTAGCCTTCGGCCGTGGAGATGCATCGAACATAACGGAGGAAGAGGTTTTCAAGATCACATCCGTACCGATGTTTGCAACGATTGGCGATTAGTAAGATTTCTGAAGGATAGTTTCTGCGACGATCTTTTGAATGCTTCCTGACGATTCAGGATGGTCTGGTCCCCGCCTCACTGAAACATCCACAGCGATAGTGTGCTCGTGGCCGTGGCCGTGGAGGTTGTCGTCGTAGTTGTTGTAGTTGTTGTGGTTGTTGTTGTTGTGGTGGCGGTGGTGGTGGTTGTCGCTGCTGCTGCTGCTGCTGCTGCTGCTTTTTCCTTTTGTCTTGTTCTGCTGCTGCTTTCTGTAGTTGGCGTTGCCGATGCTGATGCCGAGAGTCATGATGATGATTGGTGGAGGTGAGAATCGGTGCATCGATTGCACATTATATGTCAGGTCTCGAACAGCTGCGTTCACAAAGATTAGTTTCGAATCAGATGCTTTAGACTTTAGGCAGCCATCGCCGCAAACAGCTTGCCTTGTGCCAGGACCCAATTTGGTCCAAGCCTTTGGTTCGAGCGGGTCAGGTGTCTCTCCCAGAACCTTAGCTGGTGCAACTCTGTTTCTATGTACGTGTATGCGCAGCATGCTTGCATGCATATGCATGCAGTAAAGTATGGTGCACTATAATATAGTAAAATGTAGTATAGTATAGTATGGTACACTGTAACAATGTAGTAAAGTTCTGTTTGTAGGTATGTGTGTGTTTTATGCTCTAAGTCATGCACTGACCCACCAAGGCATCCCTGATCCTGGACGACTTCAAAGCAGCGTATGCCTGCTTTGCCAAGGCCGGCTTCGTAGAATCAGAGCCTCTCTGTTGCTATAGGTATAGTATAGGCGTTGAGCTCGACCTACTGTCTGCACATAGGCAGAAACGCAGAAAGCAGTCGAAGCTTCTTGTTCCGTCAGGCCCGGAGGCTGGACGAACATTACGAGGCGTGTTTCGTCACGCACTCGCATGGTCTTTGGTCATGTTGCCACACCATTCTTCGTATTGCTGTCGAACGATGTGGTGACTGTAGTTCGACACAAACACTAGAAGTGGATCTCATGCGCCAAAACTTTGCGGGCAATTCATAAGCTAGACCACCCGAAGCAATGCGGACTTTCTGGAGCAAGGAATGCAATGTGTGTCTGTGTCTATGTAGTTAAGTATGTTCTCGAGTTTCAAGGCAGCAAACGATGGCGTCAACAGTTGCCTGGACCTCAGCAAGTTGCACCAGCCAGCAGCTTGTTGAAAAGGCCAGCATGACGGAAACTCAAACTCGCACACTGCGACGAGCCGTCTGTTGCTCCTAATGGGGGCCATGTGCGGCATGTTAGGAAGACAACCCAGCCACTGCCGATGATCCCTGTAAGGTCTCCAGAAGATCATACGCTGGGAATACTCCGCATCGGTCTCAGCTGGAGTGACAGTCAGTGTGCGCGAAGCAAGTTTCGAATCCTAGAGACGGAAGAGCATCCCAAAAGGCACTGCGTATAAGTCCATTGAAAGCCACGATGTCCTCTTTAGATTCAGATCTTCTTGAAAATCTTGCTGGGGCACGCAACGGATCCGAGATGCATCGAGACGCTGACTGTGGGAGGGCTAGGCAAGTAAGATTACATTCACGAATAGAGCTGAAGGTACGGTGCGGTGCGTCGACCGCAGCATGTGTAGCATTGGGCCCTCGAGAGAAACCAGAATCCTCTTTGTGCACGCAGGCTTTACTGGATTCGCTTTGCAAGTTCCCGGTCCCAGCGCGGTGTTGTGACACGAATACATTGCAAATCAAGTACGAGACAAAGGGTGCTTTCGATAGCACCCTAAAAGTCCCCAACGGCCCCGGCTCCCTAGCCTGCAACCCGCAAGAAGCAACCACAGCTTTTCTCCACTACTGAGCGGGGCTCCACAGAAAGCAGGCAGCGGCCAAACGCTGGGCGAAGTTCGGTGTGGATCGGCGTCGGCCCCGCAAGGTGGGAAAGAGTTACATAATCATGATAAGCTGATGACCATGTTGAAGAACCTCTGTCGCTAGGACTTGCTGCTTTGAATAACAGTCGGTACTGTAGTTGAGGGCTAAAGGGCTGGCCCAACGACGATGAATGCAATGTATAGCTGCTTCTGCCACAACAGCTTCTGGGTTGCGGATCTTAGGCCGGAGAACGGCTCCAGAAGGAAAGCACTATTCCAGAAAGACCGCCCAACCCTACAAAGCAGCCAAGTCCATTTGGTCCTAAACCCGCGTGACTTGGTACCCTGACCGAGAGAAGCGGAATCGTCTCACACCTGTTCCTGCAAGCGAACCTGACTAGCTTCTCGCGCCAAGACCCGAAACCCAACACCAACATGGTCTCACCAGACCGACACGGGACTGCTCGCTCAGCCCTTCGTTGCTGCCTCGCCTGACTTCCTGAGGAGCTTCGTGTCTGGGCGCTGAGTGACGTCTTCTTCGACCAGCACGGAGTGCCTGAATGGTGCCTTGGGACGCACGAGATGTGAATCGCACTTGCAGGGCGTTCAAGGCAGGAGCGTGTGGCGCACCCCTCAGCTCAGCCCTGGGGCTCATAAGTCAGTTTGCAGAGGCAGGCTCGAGGTTCCAGGGCCACAGCAGTCAGGTGCAAGAGCTTGTCTTCGTCCTTCTTCCGAGACGATGTGCTGATGTTGGCATCGTTCTCAGTTTTTGTCTTGACATCCGCTGAGACGCGCTCGGCCAACTTCCTGCAGGCTGGAAACTTGGCCGACTCCTTGCCGCAGCTGAGATTTGCTCTGACGGTTCTCAAAAGCAAGCCAGACCGGCGAGTTCGCACATGAGAGCCCTCAAGCTTAATCTCTCCAGGGATTGACATTCAGTACCGCGAGACATGCCTGGGGTTCAAGAGTCGCGAGGCTATTGTACGACTCAAGACAGAGTTTGCAAGGTGCAAAGGTCTAGCTCTTAATCACGTCTGTTCTCCAGATACCCCGCGCTACTTCACCCTGCGACCTCGGCCAGGTTCCGTCGCATCTTTTACGTGCCCGGAAACCATGACCTCTGGGACGCTGCCTCTGTTGGTTCAGCACAGCAGCTTTGCTTCGGGGCGTGCTGCATTGTGGGTCGTAGTCCATGAGGTGCGCCGGGTGACGCTGAGCAGCATCATCAGGGGGGAGCAGGTCGAGGGCTTCGCATCTGAGCCCGGGGAGGATTCAGACTTCGGACGTCGGGTACGCGAGCACCAAACATCTGGTTGCCCATGCCCCTAAACTATCCTAAGGTCCTAAACCCTTAGGTATGGCATGGAAACCCCGACGCCCGACCCAAAGGAGGACTAGGCTGCCCTCATGCCTGCCCGTGTGCGCAGGTCAAAGATGAGCAGAGGGCAGCTCGACTGCAGAACAGCATGCCATAGTTACATTGAATCGTGCAGAATATGATAGCACAAGACAGTCTCGGATCGAGATTACTGGTTGTTAAAGTCTGAGGCCTGAATGTGCGGTGCAGCCGTGTCATCAGCATGATCAGCATCATCATGCTCATCGTTCTTATTCTTATTCGTACAAGAATCCTCACTTCACGATCCATGATGGTTTTGCTATGCTTTTCTTGCAGCACGCCTTGGATTTCTAGCCACATGTGTGAGCAACGCTTACTACCCCGTCCTGTCTTCACTGGGTTACAGCGAGCGAAAAGTCAGTAGCGAAAGAAGCTGCAGAGCCTTGTGAAGCCTTGTCATGGTACTCCTAGCAATGCCCATGTGCCCTTCGAAATCATGGAAATTGCTTCTTTCTCTCGAAGCAGCGTGGGCTGAGAATGCAGGAGATGGGAGACTCCATCTGCAAGCTTTTGGAGGTCGCGGTTGCGATTGTGCCGAGTACTGACACTGTCTGAGCACCATGTGGGCCACGCGACTCGCAGCGCCTATTGTTTCGCTGCAGCTGTTATGATCGCTAATGTATGATGACCACTAGCGGTACTAATACCGTTACTATTCGCATCCTTACCCCCGTATAATCGCCACCAGTAGTACTAATACCACTACTATTCGTATTCCTATTGGTACTCTATTGATACTAGCCTCCTTCTGATTTGTGTGTCGTCGCTCGGGCTGGGCTCTTGGCTCAAAGGATTTTGTACAGGGCGTCTGCGCTCCGAGCCTTGAAGCAGAGTTTCGCAGATACACTTGTCATCATCATTATTCTTGTTAAGTCTTACTGTTACTAGTATCTAGTATTAATGCTACCGTGAGCACATCTCCAGCCACTCCAGGGAGAGCCATGGAAAGCACTCAAAACCAAGTTGCCTTTCTGCGAAACTCTGTGATAGAGGTACTGAAAGAGGCAGTTGTTCGATCTCCTTTTGTGTCCTGCAATGGCGCTCGGAGGAGCTTGTGGGGGCCCCGCTTGCTGCTCCTTTTTGCTGTCATCGCATCAGTATGTCTTATAATAGTTAGTGGTGGTAGAGTGTGCTCCAGGTTGCCGTGAGCAATGACCGAGGTCCGGCTCTTTTGGAGGCTCGCAGATCCTGGGCAGTACTTGTGGTAGCCAGAATCGTGTTTACTTGCTTGAGCTCTTGGTCTCAATGCATGGGTCTGCAGCCCCACTCTCAGTGCGGAGACGGGAGGGATACGGATGAAGAGTCGAGGTCAGCAATGCGGGCCGTATTGCTGAGCCTCCCGCGCAGAGGCGGTCAGCTGTGCTTGTGTCGCATTTTCCTTGTCTGGGGCAGACGGCTGCGTGGCTTGCGTGAACCCCCGAAAGAACTATTCTGAGCCTGGCTGTCAAGCTCTTCAGGTCTGCCGGCGCTGAGACAAAGAGCGGGCCAGGGCCAATGGCCTGTTACATCGGTGCGCTCTCCCACTGCGCGGGCTCAGTAGGAATTGCCTCAGGATTTCTGTGAAGGAGCTTCGTCGAGTCTGCTGTATAATTACTGTTAGCACCACAACACCTTGTCTTCTCCGCATTATCATTCGATGCTGGTGATGCTGGCGAAGATGTTGACCCTCAAATGAAAGCACGGCAGGAAGCCCGCTGGTACGGCCCTCAGTGCTTTCTAGTCAGCAATGTCGCACCGTGTCGCGAGAGACTCGATCCTGCTACCTGCAGCTCTTGCTTCGTGAGACTTTCGCCAGCCCTGTCTCTAAGGTTCTAGTCACGATGGGCGTGGTCTTCGCGTTCACGAACAGTCGGATACCGAGCACTTGTGATGCCACTTGGGTCCACTGCGCAGCAGGTTCACAGACTTCTCATGTTCGGCCAGCGGCAGGGGAGACAAAGCAGGGATATGCAGGGACATTTGACCTCGTTTACCGCAGATCCCACTGTGCTCACGGTTGCAAACATTTCTAGACGTGAGAGCTTCTCCGAGGTTTCCCTGAGGTTGGGACAGCTGGCACCGACCCGCGGCGCTTGTCGGAGACGTCAGTCTCTCAGATGCTTTCGCGGTGGGTGCAGGAAGCTTCGTGATATATCGCGCGGGAGGATGATGTGTTTGATTGCTGGATGTTGAGTGCTGCATGTGTAAGCGCATGCTCTAAGCATCGTCGCGAGGACCCATATCAATTCGCAGTATTGGGAAACATATACGGCCAAGTTGCAAGGGGAGGCTTTAGGAAAGTTCAGGAACAGTTGGAAACGAAAGGGGTTCAGATTGCTTTCGCATTGGCAGGAGTGCACCGCAACTTGCCAGCAGCGGATGCTGCCGCTTCGCGAAGGAGTTCGAAGGCGCTGTTGGATTGCTGTGCCTGAGCCGGTTGAGATGCACGAGTGCTAGTGCTGGATGTCGGGAGTGGAAGATTCCGAAGCATACGTCGAATGCACTCAAGCCTGGGAAGCGTCAAATCCCACCGCGGTTGGCAAATCTCGCTCCTTTACTCTAGAAGTTGCCATCGGCCAGCCTCGGCATCTCCCTGTGCCTCTCAGACGTGGACTGGTACAATCCGCAGACCCGGGCAGATTTCCTGGCCGCCTTCTGCTCAGCACACGGACATTGAAGGCATGTTGAAGGTCCATCAACTGACTCGGCTGTCCACATTCCTTGCATTCTCAGAACGTTATGTATGTGGAGAGCCGCTTCCTTGGAGCCAGAGCCTCAGCTGCCTGTCAGTAAAGCCAGATCGAAAGTTACATTTGCCAAGAGCAGTGGATCGACTACCCCCCCTAAACCCTGAACCCTAAACCCTAAGCCAGACCTGTAAGGGGGCAGCGGTGGCCTTCGATCCAGACACTGGCATGACCTACGATGGGTTCGGGACCTGGAGGGCCCTGCATGGTCCACCATCCCTTTCGTGGAGTGCTGTGACCCTGAGGGTTGGCCTGGACTACAACACCGGTGATGTCCAGCCGGGGCTCAGAATGCCAGACTTGCCGCATGTTGGAGTGGTGCACAATTGCCGCTTGCCTTTGTCCCGGCACGCTGTGCCTTTTCAGGAAGCCTTTTGTACCTTCCAGGAGCCATTGTGGTCCACACAGGAGAAATCGAGACGCCAGTGAGAGCAAGCGCTCGAGTTTGCCATGGCCGTCGGAAAGAACAAGCGCCTCACCAAGGGCGGCAAAAAGGGCGGCAAGAAGAAGGCCGGCGACCCCTTCCTTCGAAAGGAATGGTACGACATCAAGGCTCCCAGCCCCTTGGCCTGCATTCAAGACGTGCGTGCATACGGTAACGCGTACGTGGATATGTATACATAGACGCCCAAGACAAGACCGGAACATTGCCGGATCTTGGCAATCGAGCATGCCTTTTCGATTGGAGGCGCCATAGTGAGGGTCCCTTGGATAGCGCTTGCCCGTCTGGTCCTGCAACCACCAGGAACACAAAGAGGGATGATCGGATGCTGTGAAAGCGCAGTGAAAGTAGGGCAAAGTAGGATGCCATACAATTCTTTCAGAATTCCACAGACATCTGAAACGCCAGTGGTTGTCACAAGGCATGTTCTCCGTGCGTCAGTGCGGCAAGACCCTCGTCAGCCGTCGCCTGGCCGCAGGTGTTAAGAGATAGGATGCTCGATGTAAATATTTATCCCGATCCCCCGACAAAGCAGACCCCAACCCCTAAATCCTTTCAGCCATCTGAATCCCGAACTTGTTGCCTTTCGGACTTCCTCGGCTGATCCCAGGAACCCAGGGAACGAAGATCGCCACCGAGGAGCTGAAGGGCCGAGTCCTGGAGGTGAACTCCGGGGACGATGGGCTTCAAAAAGCTTGGAAGCCTTTCTTGATGTCGAAGATCCGGGGTCTGCCGGGAAACCGCTGCTGCAGAGCTCGAGCATGAGAGTGCAGCACGAATCCTTGCCTGGTCCAATCTGCTCCGCAGCAGGTGAACCTTGCAGACTTGAACAACGATGAAGATCAGGCTTCCAAGAAGATCCGCCTCTGCATCGAGGAGGCAGCACATGCTGACGGATGTAGTTTGGTTTGGGCTCGCGACAAGCTCACCCTTTTCTTGAAGACACTCCAACAAGGTCTAGACTAGACTGTCACCTCCTGGAGAAAGAGTTGAAGCATGTTGAAGCCATCCAAGTTGAATCCGAAGCTGAGCCCGGCAGCCCCGGCAGCCTGGCAGGTGCAGGGACGAAGCTGCCTTACCGACTTCCATGGAATGACCTTGACCAGGGACAAGATTTGCTCTCTGATCAAGAAGCGACCCGGCTGTGTCTTTTTGTCATTGGAACAGAATAGAATGTCGCCGTGCTTGTCTATGCAGCCTGCTTGAGAGGTGGCAGACACTCATCGAAGCACATGTGGATGTGAAGACCACGGACAACTACGTGGTTCGCATGTTCTGCATTGCCTTCACCAAGCGCCGTCAGGATCAGGTGAAGGCCAATTGCTATGCCCAGTGGCTCAGCTGCAAGGTGTAGGTGACGGAGCTGCAGCTTTTTGAGTCCAGTTCGGGCAGGGCCATGGAGTCTCACCGCGAGGTCTGCGCAGATCCGAAAGATCCGCAAGAAGATGACCGAGATCATGACGCAGGAAAGCGCATCCAGTGTCTGCGAGTCTACGCTGTGGTGCGTCTCGTAGCAAGTTCGGACTATGCCAATCTTCAACAGGGGGCCCCTTCATAATCCGGGCATCCTCCTGGAAGACCCCAGACGTTGCCCCAGCCTGGCAGGAGGCGAGCAAGGCAGGGCCCGGGGCCTTTGATCCGCTCCGGGCATCTTTTGGGATCCCCGAGCTGGAGATCCGAGAGCCTTGAAAGCCAAAACAGCTCCCAAACTCCAGGTGCAGCTGCGTGAGTTGGTCAAGAAGCTGATTCCAGAGTCCATCGGCAAGGAGCAATGACTCGTTTTGCTCATGAGCTTTGCTAAGCAGCCAAGAATACCACCATCGTTAGCTTTCCATCAGTTTTGCATATTTTGGAGTATTTCTTTCCTTCTTTGTCCTTCATCGGTGCTGTTGTCCTTGCTGTTGCGACCTTTTTTCCCAGCTGTGTCTCTTTGCTGGTATTCCCGATTGCATTGCCGTGAATCTCCAGGAGATCGAGAAGCAGGCCCAGGGGATCTTCCCTCTGAAGGAGCCGCGGTTTCCCGTGACTCAGGGTTTTTAAGGGATCGGTTGCCCTCATGTCATGTGGGCTTCAGAGTTCGTGGTGCAGGCCGGGCATGTGTCTTTTGCGTTGTCCAGGACTGCCTCATCCGAAAGGCCTGGGCCTTCTTGTTCTTTCAATGCCGAAATCGGTATTAGCCAGTCTTGCACATGCTGTTCGGCTTTGTTGCGCCGGGCCTGTGCCAAGGTGAAGATTCTGAAGAAGCCAAAGTTCGACATCACCAAGCTGCAGCTTGCCCGCTCGTCTGCTCTGCCTAGCATAAGATCTTTGTACGAGCCTTGATCTGTAGACCCTCCCCGAACCAATGCTCAGGATGGAGCTTCACGGGGATGGCGGCCACCCAGATGCAAGAGAGCGAAGATGAGTAGGAGGAAGAAGAACCGAGAGAATCAGATGAACTCGCCTGAAAATCCAGACGGATGCCCCGAAGAGAGACCTCAGAGAGAGAGAGAGAGCTTCCCTGCAGAAAGAAAGAAAAGAGAGAGGCGACGACATGGGTGTGGAGATGGTGCGCCCGGAAGCGGAAGATGCCGTGAACACCTTGCTCTTCGGCTGGCACAGGGTTGGCAGAGCACATTTGCGCAGCCAGCTAGTTGCTTACTTCTGGACCAGAGGGAAAGTCATCCAGGTTAAAGCTTCTGGGATGTGGAATCGTCGAGTTACGGAATCCGGTTGAAGGTCTTGCGGCCTTCGCACGTTTTGGAAGAATGCCGGCCTACTTCGACATTTGGGCGTGCGCAGTTTTTCTGGTCATTAGGTTCGGTCTCTTCCCCTGAGCCCCTGGCCTTTGTCCTTAAGTCCCCCTCAGTTAAAACGCCCGCAACTCTTCAACCTAAGGACAGCTGATGTTACGGCTGCTGCGGATGACGACTAGAGGAGCTTGTGACTTGAGTCGATAACCTCCGTCAGCACGGGAGACTTTCTGAGCAGCAACGAAGCAACGGTTGAGGCTTGCCCCACCGAGGGCTGAGTTCAGCCATGCGCAATCCCACCTATTCCCTGCAGCATAAGCCTTGTAAAGCCGTTATATAAGCTGTAAGCAACATATAAGTATGTGCATACATAAAAGATGTCCTTGTTAGCATGCTGACTTTTCCTTTGCTCAGCGGCTGTGCTGCTACAGGAGGGCCTGGCGAATGGAATCACCAAGCGTAGGATGCTCAAAGGCAGGAACCTCCGAAGGTATCTTGGCCACAGCAAGACCTGTTGAAGCCGATAAGCTTCATGACAGCTGGCTCCATTTCAACTTTGTGTCTGCACCTAGGTCAAAGCATGGGAGAGCGAAGCAAATGAGATGCGACTGGATGCCTTTGTGCCTTTGTTCGAGTGGACCACACGGCAACGGATCACAGAAAAAGGATCCTTGCTGCACTCCACTGGCCGCGGTGCTTGCATCACTAGGACTGTCAGAGGCTGTGCAACCTGCTTCCTTCCCTCCCCCATGAGGCACGGAACTCTTCGAACATTCTCGGCACCATCCAAAGAGTCCTGCTCCCAGCCTTGTTTCCCTGCTGCCTAAGCCAACCTCCGAGCTCGTTCTGGGTTGGGCATGGCTGTCCCTGACCTTGATACCCTAAACTCCCGTGGGAGCCAGAGCGCCCTGATGGCCCTGAAATTCTTGAGCATGTCCAGGGCTCTGCACCTGAGCCTCCTTGCCTTGGCCCTCCAGTCCCTCGAGGCGGGGGCTTAGAGGCGACACTAAGACGGAGAGAGGGAGAGGCCCACTTCCCAAACGCCCCGCAAGCAAGCGAGAGAGAGGGAGAACTGCGCAAAAACAGGGAATCGCAGCCAGCTTGAAGCTTCAGTTACGGGATCGCCGCATGAAGATGGTGTGAGTCTGCTGCCATCTACTACAGTATGTACGACTGCGCACCACAAAGCTTACTGCACATGAGTTCAGAATATGTTGGATTGACGGCAGCTTGATTCATGCTAACCTGGCATTCGATGGCAGGATGTGCCCACCGAGTCTCGCTCTCAGCTCCACCATGATCATCATGGGGGTGGAGACCACGGATACCAGGAGCCAGGATGTCCTATGTTGCAGGTATGGCACATGTAAAAAGCGCCGCCGCAGCGTTGTGCACAAGGAGGGGGCAGAGGGCCCCCGTGAACTTGCGGTCATGGAGGTGGGCTCGCCATGCTTCCTCCAGCCGGCAGTGCTTTCCAAGCCTGCGCCGAGGGAAGCTCAGCCAGCTGCCCCATCAAGCGCTCGGGGTGGTCAGAGTCGGGGTTGGGAATCTTCGTCCTTCGGAGCCTCCGCTGTTCTGGCTCTGGCAGCCCTCCACCGCAGGAAAGCTGGCCAGGTCCCCAGCTGTAAGCCCCCAGCTTGTGAGCGGAGAGTGGTTCAGCAATCTGCGTTCGTTCACACGATTCGATTCTTCGTTTTCTTCTTGTCCTGACTTCAAGGTGCCGTTCGTGCGTCCAGGGGCAGAGCCGTCGCAGTGCGGGCGGCAGCCGCTGCATGGAGGCGAGGGTTTCGAGAAGCCGACGAGCTAGAGGATGGATACTACTTTATGGACGTTGAGGGCATTCCCGCAGATCTTTCCGGCACCTACTTCCGGAATGGGCCTGGCAAGTTCAAGGAAGGGGACAGCCAGGTGGCACACGAGCTGGACGGTGATGGCTTCATTCTGGCCATAAGCTTCAAAGATGGTCAGGTGTGCGTCCGACATCGTCTCGTGCAGACCCAGGGACTTCTCAGAGACAAGTTCGCGAAGCGCATCTTTGCCAAGGGCTTCTACGGAACCCCTCCGGGTGAGGGCGGGAGCGCCTTGGATGCCCGCAAGGGTTTTCCGAAGCACACGGCAAACGCGGGCATGACTTTCTGGGAAGACCAGCTCCTTGCCGTTGGGACGGCCGGGAGTAAGAAGCCCTTCCAGATCGACCCGGCCTGTTTGGGCACGGTGCTCGGGAACGAGGACGAGGGTTCCTGGAATCTGGATGGGGCCTTGGACAGCGAGACAGGCTTTGGCTCATGCCCCAAAGTTTGTGGTACGGAGGGTTGTCTTAGCTTCATCGACCAGACCCCTTCGCTGGGTTCGACAACGGTGAAATACCTGGAGTTCGCCCCTGGTGCCTGGAGACCCCGGTATCCGAAGCCCCGGGAGTTCTCCGTCGGCGGCTTCACGCGCTTCGCCGACTTTGCGATTACCCCCAAGTGGCTCGTTCTGGCCAAGCCCCCGCTGAAGGCGGATGGCCTTGGGGCGGCCTTCGGCAAGACCTTCGCAGAGGTCCTTGAGTTCGACCCCTCGGGCACTGCAGAGCTCATCTTCGCCACCCGACTTCGCCGCGATGAGCAAGAGGTCACGGTGCCCGTAGATTCCCTCGTTTGCGAGGAGTTCGCCAATGCCTTTGAGGACACTGTGATCTTGCCATGATACGCTTATGATGATGACGATGATGATGATGATGAGGATGCGAAGGTGGTGATGATGGTTTTGTTGTTGATCATGGTGATGACGATGCTGCTGATGATGATGATGATGATGATGATGATGATGATAGTGTTGTTGATGCTGCTGCTGCTGCTGATGATGGTGAGGACAAAGCTGCTATTCCGAAAGATCCCATCGTGTTCCTTAGCGTAAGCAGGTGACGCTGAGCATCCTGCCTCGGATTCGGTTGCCCCATGATGCGTGCGGATTGCGATGAGTTTTGAAAACATCTATCTGTCAAGGCGGGCACTCTTGTCGAATGCCAGTGATATTCATGTTGCTGGTGCTGCTGCTGCTGCTGTTTCTGTGGCTGTGGCTGTGGCTGCGCTGCAGCTGCTGCTGCTGTTGTTGTGGCTGCGGTCAGGGCCGCCTCCTCCTCGATCTCCTCCTGTGCTGTCCAAGGCTCTTGGCCAAGCACTCGTCGGTAGGATCTTAGATGCCGGGTTGCTCTGATTAACTTCTGCCGTCTGGACCCCACAATATGATGAAGTATGTCCCGATCTCTCCGACGACCCACTAATCCATCTTGCATTCCTGTGTTGCCCGTTGCCGTTGATGGATGCATGGCCAGTGAACTCGACAGAGCCAGCTACGTCATGTCAGTGGGCGCAGTGTAGCCTGCACCATCCGTCATGCTTGGAAGGACGGCGGGCGCGTCGTCGTCGACCTGGTGGCAGCCGAGCGATGGGACCTGGGCAAAGTCGATGCGGGCCCACGCTGGGAGGTCCAGGATCCAACCCAGGCTCCCAAACGCTCTCTTGTGCGCTACGAGGCGGCGGCGGAGAATCCAACAACAGTTTCATATTACATGTGTGAAGATTTCCCATGCCGTCCCTTTGCTACTATCTGCTAGTGCTACTGCCCCGAGGTGGATTTGAGCTCCAAGACCTTCACGAAGCGGAGTCTTTGCGATCGGCATCTGGGCTTCACCAGCGTCAACCCAGCCTACAACGGCAAGAAGCACAGGTTTGTCTTCGCTGCCGTGGCTCACAGCGATGTGGGTCCATATGGTGGGGTTGCCAAGATCGACGTGGAGAGCGGCGAGATTGATGAGTGGCTAGGAGGAGCTTCTGAGTTCTTTGGGGAGCCCCTGTTCGTTCCGAAGGAAGGACTCGATGGGGAGGAGGATGGTTACCTGATTTCTGTGAGCTTCGATGGCCAGGAGGACAAGAGCTCAGTCCTCATTTTCGATGCAAAGTCCATCTCGCAAGGGCCTGTGTGTCAGTTCCCGCTGCAGACAGCCGTACCTTATGGGCTCAAAGCCTGTTGGGTGCCTGATCTGGCCTACACGCCAGAGGAGATGAAGCGGAAGACTACTTTGTTGAGGATGTTTGTGAAGAAGTCCACCGAATGGAATGCCATGGAGATGGGCTTCTCCTCTTTCGGAGGGCAGGCGCTCTTCCAGAAGCAAGGCGTGAAGATGCGATGAGCAGTTTTACTCTTAGCTAGGATGATGATGTTGCATATGCAACATGCGTTTCGCGCACTGGCTAACCCCGGGCTGCGCCCCATGTGCGATTTTACACTCGACACCCATATGAAAAGCCGTGGTTTTCTTCTTCACTGACTGATCTGTCACCCCACCAACTCGCTTCGGCTGCAAGTCTGCTCAGCTTGCCGTACCAAGGATCGCCACGGCACTTCCGCTTCTCTACAGCACTGACGAGGCCAGGCGACACTGGGACTCCACTTGGGAGAACGACAGAGAGCCCCCTCCGTAGCTCAGGCGCTCGACATCCTGGAGAAGAAGGCTCTGCCACGCGAGTAGCCCTACCATAGTCACCCTTATAGCAACCCTTGCAGGCAGGAGATCTCCGAAGTCCTCAGTCCTTCAGGTCAGCAGCATGGAGGACTTTGATGCGCGCTTCCCGGGTTTCGGGGGCTACATGCCCTGGCCCGGCTCTCGGAGGTTTGCAATGCAGTATCGCAACCATTGCATGTTAATGACTCTTAGTTCGTATGAGCATGAAATGACGTAACAGTTGCTTCTTCTGTCCTTACTGTACGATCTCTTGAAATCTATTCGAGTTTGAGGTCGGGTTTAGCGGGGCTTGCCTGTGAGTCCTGCAGGTTCTGCTCTCGTGGCATCAATGATGCAGGGGTCTGCAAGAGCCGGGAGCTAAGATGCCACGTATAGTGGATGCCATTATGGTCTTATTCTGCGGTTGTTCAGAGCTTACTGACACTAGCAATAGGACTAGTACTAGTGCCAGTACTAGTACTTGCTAGTGCCAGTGCCAGTGATGGTGCTGGTACTGCTGCTGCTGCTGCTGCTAACCACCAAAACCACTACTAGTACCATTACGACTACTACGACTACCACTTCCACTACCACTACCTTCAAGCATACATCCCGGGACCCGGGATTGCGTGTCTTTGCTCTCTCTCTCTCTCTCTCTTCTCCCTTTGCCCTCTGCTTGCCTAGATGAGGCACGACGGACCCTGGAACCAGCAGGATGATGCCCTTGCCCGGCTGGGAGAGGAGCCGCGAGCCGAGGTTGTGCAAAGCGTCAAGCTCAAGCCTTGACCCTGACCCTGGGTCCTATAGGGGGAGCTGGTGAACTAGCGGTGCTAGCGGTCTTTTTGGGCTTTCAGGGGCCTTTCATCGGACTGAAGCTCGAAAAGTATCATCCCGATGCCGCATCCAAACTGGCAATGAGGCCTGCCAGGTCTGGACAACGGCCAGCTTGCATTTGGCGTTGCCGCAGTGGTCTGATGCTCACTGGCGGATCGATTACCAGATTCGGGGAGCAGCAGCAGCAGATTTCGGAGAATCCGGTTGGAAGGTCTTGTAGGCTGGCTGCAATCAGCCGAATCAGCTGAACTGACGTCATCCACTGCTCTGGCTTCGTCTGCTAGTCGAATTACGTGACTGCCACCTGCCCCTTTCACTGTTCCTGGCAGCAGATGGGGTTTCGGAATCACAAGGTTCGTGCTTTCGGTATGTAGCGCAAGGTGCATGTCTTGGAGCGCCGAGCGGCACAGGAAGGCAGCTCCGGCAGTGCACCAAGAGCAGTTTGCAGAGCAAGCACTCACCAGCCGACGTTCTTGTTTTTATCTCGGCGCGATGGCGCGATGCGTTCTTGAGCAGAGTCATGCAAAGTCCAGCGCATCAAAGCTACATCTTTGAGCGTCAGCTCCCGGTGAAATCGAAGCTCTGCAGATCTTTGAGGTCGCTTTGCCCAGATGGCCCGGCGCTGGAACGGCCGCCTGGAGCGGATGAAGGTGGAGAGGGGCGGGCCGCGTGAAGATCGGAAGAGGCTTCGAGCCTTCGCAGTTTAGAGTGATGACAGGTATGCGGGTAAATCAATGTAAATTAGGGGTTTCGACGAATTTTCTGTGCAAGGCTTTCGGACCAACGTGCCAGGCGTCGGTTGTTAACTTGTTCTACGACGGAGCCGGTCTGGTCAGGGCCTCAAGGTGATGCAACGTTTTTACAATCTGCTGCATTTCTCCGCGATTGGCATCGTTGCAGTGTGTTGTCACTGTTGGTATGACGCACTGACTAGTGCTCGCACGCATGGTTGCCATCTTTCACCGCTTGTGATCATTTTGCTGGCAGGTAGGTCTTCTTCACACAGCATGAGTGTGTGAAGCTTTAACGATGTCACTGGAGGTGCGCATGATTTCTCAGCTTGACAACATCACCGTTGACGCACGCATCTTAGTCTTATTGACTTAGTGCAACACATTACCGTGCTTTTTCGGCGAGCTGCTTGGTGATTTTGTAGCTCATGCAGTCCTTATATCTCCTTTCTCTTGCTGTATTTTCAGGTTGCAAGGAATGCCTCCAATGCTCACAACCAGAACCACATGGTCGCTGCCCGAGCTGCGCACCGACAGCACAGCCAGCACAGCAGTGGAGAATGGCTCGCACAGATGATTTTACAGGTCTGGCAAGGAAGTAGCAGTGTTGGTCAGTATCGTAACTGCTGCTCACTTGTGCAGAATGGGGCAACGAATGAGCGGAGCTGCAGCAAGAATAAGAAAGTCTTTGCAGGTGATTCTGTCTGGTGTTGCCAGGTCGCTGGTGTGTTTACCGGCATCGCGATTTGTTGGAGAAGACATGGCACTTGCGCTCAGGTTCTTTGGGATGCCTTCGAAGGGGAGATGTGGCTCCCTCAGACGTTCAAGATTGAAGATCTGAGCTTGTCTGAAGCAGATCTTTGCGTGTCAGGGTTGTCATCTTCATGGACATCTTCGGCAATTGGAGCAAGTACCCAAACAATGGTGAGGAGATGTGGGACCAGTAGCAGTAGCAGTGTTGCTGTCTGTTGCTGCTGTTGGCGGTGTTGCTGCTGCTATTCCTGTTGTTGCTGTGGCTTCTGCTTTTTTCGTGATTGTTTTCTAAGTCTGTTGCTGTGGTTGTCTCCAAGTGGTTGCGTTGTTGTCGTTGTTTGTGCAGGAGGAGAAGAAGCTGATGTGGAAGATAAAGGCAGAACATGCTCTTTGCTTAGCACGGCAGTGAGTGTGCCTTCCCGGTGATGTCTCCAGACTGAGGTGGAGCCTGTTGTTTATACAGCTGCCGACAAGTCGAAGATGGTTCTGCAGAAAGGATTTTGGTTTGCTCCCGAGCTGTCTTTCGTATCGTGCGCAGCTCTCCCAACTGCTCTTACCTGGAAGATCTGGAATCCAGATGTTCTTTCCGCAAGTGCCCATTGCTCACCCCATCGCCAGTGCAGGTTCTCAGCGCATGAACAGTGGAAGACCTTACAGCTTCCTTACATGGACATCCCACTGGTCTGCGGCCCGGCTCCGTCGAGAGACCCTTTGAGGTCCCTTTGAGGTGAAACTCTGGACGCTTAGGTCAAGCACCTTTTCACGAACGGCGAGTTCGCACGCTTGGAGAATTCATTGCAGCAGCAGCTGCCGTCATCTCAGCGACTTCCGGCAACACTTCAGAAGCTTCCATCTCACGGGTCCTGGCCTCGACTCCGGGTAGTGTACCGAGGCCTGGCTTGATGGCCTCGGTGAACGCGCCCCATGGCCTCTGGGCAGCAGAAAGGGCCCACGAAGCTAGAATGTGCAGAAGGGTCAACAACAGCCGTTGCAGCCTTCAGAGATGCATGTTGGAGGTGTGCAGTGCGATGCCCATCCTTACTGCAGTGCCGTGGGCATACAGGCCAGGCCAGCCTTGGATGAAAGCGCCCGCTTTCGGTCGCATGCAAACTCCAGGCGCTAGCGGAGCAGCCAATTTTTACAGCCGGGCGCCCGGAATCGCTGCTCTTCCGTGGCTCACCTTGAGCTCCTGATCCGAGGAGACAGTCCTTACCCCCTATGCTGCTTTCCCTTCGATCTTGGTGGTGGGAGCCCAAGAGAGACGGAGACTGTGCCCCGCGGCTAGTCGAAGGACTTGAAGGATGCGCTTGGCCCAAACAGTTTGCGGACAACAGCCAAATAATAGCTTTGCTCAGCTGTACTCGCAGCATCTCGCAGCGATGCGGGAGGTTTGTACTCCTGATATTTTGTGTGCCCCAACAAGGAAGCTCGCCTTTTCAGTCGCATCCAGCCGAGGATTCAGCCGCTGGACTTGCGTGGTGCGCCAGCTTCAACACTTCGGCCCCACCCCTGAGACAATGGTATACAGTCGTAAGTAATCAACAGCCGCTGTCATGACAGTTCTATCGCACGTTGTAGCAATGCTTCCAACCGTCACCACAGCTCAAGCTGCGCGAGCTAGCGGTAGTGCCGAAAAGACACATTCCGGAGATGACATCAAAGGACGTACTCAGTGGCCCCAACAGCGGAAGGTACAACCACATGCTGGCCATGCCGCGGGTGCAAACACCTGTTGGCAGCATTGAGTCCTTCACCAACACTGGCAAGGCAGCAGCGGGCCTCAGTTCCCCAAAAGCCCACGCAGCCTCATGCGTAAACAGCTGCATTTCGAATTGCATACGTCGGTAGGTAGCTAGCTAGATGCGGGGGGTCTGTGTGTGTGTGCGTGGATAGCTAGTTCGGGGAGGAACTTGTATCTGGTGCAGTAAGTAGTAAGTTCATAATCAAGCGGTTTGGTCCCTTGTGCATGTTCTGCCTTTGGCGTTGTGGTGTTGTGAAGAAAACGCAGCCAGGCATACACGGTACCTGCATACATACATGTTACAGACACATACAGTTACATACATGCACACATATATAATAACTATACGCATGTCTGCATATACATATACATTACACATACACCTGTGTGCGCACATACACTGTTCTGGCCATTCAAACTTCGGGTATGCACAGTGCATTACAGATGGAGTGGACGATAGGTCACGGGCAAGCGTGATATCCCGTCCCAACATGCATTAAAAGATCATGCATGCCCCCGTATCACTTATCATCTGCAGTCTGAAGGCACATAATCTCCAGCTCGTCGGCAGTGTTTTTCAAGTGCAGTCTGCAACCTGTACATTTATGGTTTTGCACATTCGGTGTACAGTCGCATACACTGAAGAGAACAAAGTCAATGCAAAACGTGGAAGACCCAAGGGTCCGGTGCAAAGCAGCAAGCAAGGTCGCACCCATGGCGACCTGGGATGCCAAAGCTACGACCGCCGCGAGCTCATCGGACCCTTTTTTCAAGGGCGTGTTTCAGCGCGGATTGTAGAGGAGCATGCTACAGACACACTGTACTTTGTGCTAGTGCAACCTGTATTCCAGATGAGATGACTTCACTCTGCCCCATCGGAACCTTGCTGTGAGTTCCTGCAAGGTCGTAGCCATGCTTGGCGGAACCGGACATCTCCTTCGTATCTTGTTAGCACCTCGTTTTCTGAGCTACTCATTCCCAAGAACTGCACTGTCCAGGCACCTACATGGAAGAGCATGGAGTGTATGGCGTCTTCGAAGATCGTGTCAAGTCCATGTACGCCTCGGGCTCAGAATCTAAGGGGTCTCTCGCGAGACGATAACAGAAACGCTAACCCTAGACCCTAAACCTTCCTAAACCAACCTAAACCAACCTTAACTGCTACTGGTAGGCGGAAAAGGGTGTTCAAAAAACACCATCCTAAACCCTAACCTACAACCCTTCAATTCTTGAGGGCCCGATCTTCGAGCCGGTCATCGCCGCTGTGATGCCGAGTAAGGCTTCAGTCGGCGTGCACCTCAGTCCACTGCGACCACTGTTGTTGCTTTTTGCGCAGTGTGGCATAGTGCTCATATTGCTGACTCGTCTTGCTAGTTTGCTGCCAGTCATTGATAGTCATGTTAAGGAAAAGTACATGCCACCAGTATGTGCGGAATTCAACACTGGTTTTACACTTTCGTGAGCCGTGGCCGCTACCAGATGCGCACATCGCGCAGCTCCCAAAGCTGCCGCTGCCGGCACCTCATCCTGCTCAACTCAAGGCCATTCAGAGGGAGATGATCGAAGCCTGCAAAGAGCTTCTGATTGCGTCTGGAAGGGGAGCGCAGTCCCCTCATGGGCTGTCATGAAAGAGAGAGTTACTGTTCCTCTTGTAATCATTGTAATCGTCAGAGGAACCGGTGCCCTAGGCTCCAGCAGTCGAACCGCCCTGGAACAGCATCATTACACTGTGAAAAAGAAGCGGTGCTTAGCTGAACATGCCTGCCGGGGCGTGGGTGCACGTGTATACTCAATCATCCATTCTAGATGATGCCAGGATGCTCTGCCGGAGGACTTTCCGAGCTGCCGTTGCCGCTCGGATGACATGCTCAAGTATCTGCATTGAGAACCAATGACAAGATGGCACTGCAACCCTGCCCTTCATCTCGGCTCGTTAATGTCAATTTGGTTGCTGCAGATGGTTGGCGGCCAGGCAAACTTGCTGTGTCAGGAGCAGGAGCAGGAGGAGGAGGCGAACGTTGATGCCAATCAGACTATGGGCAAGAGCATTACGATATAATTTTTTTGATACCAATGCTTCCCTCGTCGCTGGCCGCTCAGGCCTCGAGGACAAGCGGACTCCAGGCCGATCCGGGAAGTTGGGTTCGCAGCCTGGGGTGTCGAGAGGCTCCGGCGAAGCGCGGGTGGAGACCTTGCTCTTGCATAAAGTCCTGAATCCGAAGCTGAGCAGAAGAATAAGACGATATCAGAAGAGCAAGACAGAATGGTCATAACAAAATAGCAAACAGAATGAAGTTTACTAGCAAGAAGAAGCACAAAGCAAATGAGAATCATTGTAATTCATAACAGTTATAAGCCTAATAATGATAACAATGATCCCTACATGCAGCTTATGGTCACGTCGCCGGCTAGGAGCTACTTGGAGTTGCTGCAGAGACCAGACTTCTAAACAAAAATCCGGAGTCCCCTTCAGGGGTGCTTAAAGGCAGGACCCCAATCGGTCTTTGATTTCTGAAACGCCCAATACTCGAAGGACCCTTAATGAAGACCCTTATGTAAAAAATATCCTTAATATACCCATTATAGGGTAGGGATCCCCACTAAGGCCATACTCAGCCCCTCGAGGCTCCAACTTCAGAAGAGCCAGCGAAGGGTCTCCTCCTGTGCCAGGTTTCCTGCAGCCGAAGAATCCTTGAGGCTGCCGGGGGAGTGTCTGCTCCTGCATGCCCCCGTGGTACCATCACTGATTCGGCGATGCCCCCCCTGTGCTGCTCTCATCCAACATGAGGCCTCCGCAACAACTCGCCCCATTGGGTCAGGGGGGAAAGAACACCTACCACCTGAGAGATTCGCAGCGCTAGCTGTCGCAGGTGGGCAGCCCCACGCGTCTGAGGACTTTGAGGTCAAGATGAAGTGGGGCTGTGCCTCTCCGGGTCTCACAAAACTCAAGTTAGCGAGCATGAACAGGCGACCGGACCTGCAATTTGGAGACCCTGCTATTAATTCGTTCGCTAGGCAGATGCTTAGAACTGTGACGATTTTGTCAATGATTTGGTTTTGTAGACTCTCTGGTTCCCAGTGGCTACTGCCCAGTGGCCCACATCCCAACGGCCCAGACAGTCTGTATAGGAGGTGGTTGTAAGTGCCGGCTACGAGCGCCGGCATGCCACAGCCTCTTATTTTGAGCAGCCCTCGAGGCTCCACCCACTGCACGCTGCAACAGCACAGTGCGGAGCATAATTCTGCTAATCTGCTTTAAGGGACGCTGCTTTAGAAACTACAGCAGTGCCTGAATTCAATGTCCGAATTCGAATTGCAAATTCTGCAATTCCTTCGGTCTTGCCATGTTCCAGTCGGACACACTGTTTCGCCAGTGGTTTGGGGACAAGATGATGCCCGCACTGCCAGCACGGAAGTTTGTCCAAGCAAGTGCCCCCTTCTCCCTTCGTCAGAGGATGAGGGAAGTTCTCGGAATTTGGCGGCAGGTGCTGCAGGTTTGTGACGAGCTTGGCATCGAGACCGCACCCGCTGAGGCGAGAATGAGAGCGATCGGTCTGCGTCGATCTGCTTCCTAACATGTCAGGTTGCCGCGGGCATGTTCATCGTACCGATGCAGTCCTGGTGCCCCGCTGCTAGAGGGCGAAGAGACGTGTGAACACGGTGCACTCTACAGCTGTGAATGGGGCCGGCTGCGGCAAGCAGTCGAAGCGCCAGTACTGCTAGCTCCGGAGACCCTGCAGGTAGACCTACCAGGTGGCTGCAAGTCAAGCTAGAGGGAAGTTATGCCTCAGAAGCAGAAGGCAGTCCGTGGCGTTTTCATGGCGGTACTATCAGCACTTTACTGTACTACCATACCTCTACAATCCATGGGCAAGCCTAGTGTTGCACGCATTTTGGAGAAGTTCTTGTGCACGGATTTGCAGTCAGCAGCTTTTCAGAGCTGAACATCTACACATCTATGTTTGTGCCTCACGGCTTTCTGATGGTGAGGAGCATGTGATGGCACAAACGGATGTCATTCGTCATTCATTGCGGTTTCCAGGTACTCCAGAGATTTCATCTCCAAAGCATTGCGCCAGCAGCATGCGTCAGCGACGGACGCGGATGCCAAGGCTCAGCATCATGCATTTGTCGAATCTGTGTCACTTGCAGAGAAGTGCGTGATTGGACGGCGCAGGTGACCATCGATCAGTGGATCCAGTGGCCTTTTCCTTGTGGCTCTGATGACGCGTGGAAGTTCTTCATGAGGACAGTGCTGTGGGATGGCTTGCGCATGCGGCCGGTGGGGGCCTCCTGTCACGTCTCTTTGGGCATCCACATCATTATTCTTATTCTTTCTCTTAGTATTGTCGGTATTTCATCAATTTTCTTCTTATTGTTATTGTTACTAATATTACGATTATTGTCATTGCTAGTGTTATTCTTGCTACCACTATTGCTGTTATTTTTATGACACTCACTAGTCTTACGTATCATTAGAGTCCTGGAGGATGAACGAGGCGGCTCTCAGGGCCACCCTTGTGGCGAAGACGGCCTTCGAGCGCCGAGACCTCAGATCGGGTCATGGCTGGGGAGCTCAGGGCTCACTCATACTACAAAAACCTATGTTGTTATGTGTTATCACCTATGATAATTTGCAATTACGTGTTATCACATGATGCTTTCATACACTGCCATATATGATAATGTATGACCAAATACTGAATACATAACTATCTGCAGCTAGTTGTTATTACTAGTGCAGCCGATTGACAGAGCCATGTGACGTCCGGTGTGGTTCGAAGACAGTTCAACCTACCACAAGATGAGAACTGGAATTGAGAAATATTCCTTTGCGAGAAGTAGCTCGTTCTAGCTGCAGGTAGGGGTTTCCCCACAAAACAGCGGGCAAGGCTTTGCGAGAAGGCCGAAAGACGCCGCATAATATTCACATCGTCATTGCATCAGAGATGCTATCCTCAATCAAAGGAGTCAACCTGCTCTGCCGTGCCGCTGCTGGCCTGTGTTTCCCTCCAGGATTCTGCGATCAGCCGGCCCAGGTGATGACTATGTCCGCCTCCTACTGCATTGAGGGTTTACATGCCGAAACCGCAAACCTCGGGGAGAAGTATGCACGGTCTCAGGACGCACTTCCTCACCAGACCAGAACTGTCTTTTGCCCGGGCCTGTGATGTCAGGGAGCTGCGGATCGTAAACAACTTAAAGGTGCTGACATAGGTTGGTGAAAAATCTGGCATAGAGCATCGCCATCTCGTCACGCAGAGCTCCACGAAGTGTTTCTTCTTGACTAGCGCTCCCTTGACAATACTGGCAGTTGAACACGGACGGCTTCAAGGGAGCCTGTGATTTTACAGCTTCATGCGAGGATTGGACAATCCCTGGCATTTGGGACCACATCGGCTGTGAAGGACTGGACGAGCAGGTGGGACGTTTATTGAGCTCCCAAGTGAGCTTGTGGGGCGCTCCCTCGTGTGCGTGCCAGATTCGAACCATCGGATCGGATGTCCACGTCTACGGCCTGGGCCTCAGCGCCAAGACTTGAGTCTGCTGTGCAACTGGTTGCGCAAAATCTAAAGCAAATCAAGCCTAAGCTGTTTTCCCCTTGCGTTGTCTTCAGTACCCTAAGTTCTGGCAGGCCGTGCCTGCACGGGCCCGCAGGCCTGTGGATGCCTGCAGTTCTGTTTGACGGACGGACATAATTATGAAACTACACGCGTACGCTTTTCACGCATGTATTCGCATGTGGCTGTTTGATCTCGTCTGAGCGCTCTTCTGGAGCAGGTCCAGGAGATCGATGGTCGGGAACCTGGAGTAATTTCCTCCGCGCTTCTGGGGCTCCTGAGTTAAAAAGAGGCTTGAGCTACGTCCACAACTACATTGGCTCAACCGACAAGCCGATGCCTCAGTCGAGCCAAAGTGGTTCACTGGATACTTTCGTCGCGGGGGTCGTAGAGGCACCGTCCTGGAATGGCACCCTTTTGCATCTTCGACCGGGGGGAGGTGCCGATTCTTATATACATCTGCCCCCGCATGTGCGAGGGACGCTTTTCAGTCGCAAAGTTCGTTGCACAAGTTTGGGTTGAAGCACCATGGCTGTCAGATCCTTCCCACCACGCAGCCGTCGCAAGCCAACGGCTTCAACTTCCAGCCCAGCGCGCGCCCGCAGGACACCGTGAAGAAATCCTCATCTAGGGCCTAGGGCCCAACACAGCAACAGTTCTCAGCTTCAGATCTGCTTTTCCGCGCTCTGCTTTTTCGCCTGCCTCAGCACACTCCACATCACAAGAGACTCCACATACCCGACCTCGCAAGAAGCCGAAGCATCCTCTGACAGCGAACGGGGACAAGAACTGTCAAATGAAACCATCCCATCTTCCGGTAGTTCTTTGTCTTGCCTTCGCGGTCATCTGTCAAACCATCTATCTTAAGTACCTGGAAGTTCGTGGATTTACAGCTGGCTCCGGGTTGCTTTGGGTCATAAGTAATGGATGCTCCTGCTATGTGAGGATCCTGCGCCGCGAAGAGCATTCGGCGGAGGCTGAGGATAAGCACAGGCCCGGCGGTATTGGTGGCGCTCTCTTTGTTTCGATGTTTGCGGCACGCTTGTCTTATCATGGGCTCTCTCTAGCCTAGCACGCAGCGGTGTACTTCTTCTAAACCAGACTTCCAGCTGTCCGAGCTACTTCACTTTTGCTCATTCGGTGGTCGTAATGACGTAATGACTACGGTTGTTGCGGTAGGTTGGGGTGGGGTGGTGGCGAGGCCGTCGGTGAGTGGGTGTCCCAGAATTATCGCCTTTGCACAATCATCAGGCGAGGACCCCTGGCGCTCAAATTAGTTTTGTGCAGCAAAGCTTCGAACAGGTTTCATCGTCGTTTTTGTGTCCATGATTTCCGCAAGACTTCCTTCTTACCAAAGGCTGGTCAAGAACATGTAGGCAGTGTTTCGGCTTGAAGTGAACATCACATCTTGACACATCATTTCTCGCATTACGCACCGTAGTGGGATTTGACCGGGGTTTTGATTTTTCCCAGACTGAACACGATAAAAACTGTGGAAGTGTCGCATACGCTGTCGTCGTCGTCATCATGCCATTGTTATTGTTGGTTAGCAGTAAGCGTTGTCCCTCGTAGTCCTAGTCATTATTAGTAGTGTGTGTGAGCATGGAACTATCAGTATGCCGTTGTCTTGTCCCGCAATCTAGGACTGGCATAGTCGTTGTCGTGGTAGTAACAGGCAGGCTCTGGTTGAGATCTGCCAGGCCGCTGATCATCCGCTGGCTGCAGTTGCGGGACTTGTGACGAAGCGAAGAGGCTACCAACATCGCATCTAGCAGACAGTGGACACCTACCGTTCGCACGACATCAGCATGTTGATGAACTTGTCGAAACCATGTGCCGAAGCGCCCTCAAACCAAAGAACGACCGGCGAGACGCCTGCAACAGGATCTTTATCTTCAGCTTCTGAGAATTCGCAGCTGAGCCAGCCACACTGTGACACATGGACATGTCGGAAGCTATGAGCCGCTTTCCGTTTGAGTTTGGCATCAAGAAGCTCGTTGACTGAACTTGTATGCATCTGTCAGCGCATTTGTGATTTACTGTTCTGCAAGCTGGTATCTAGCTTCCGTGTGTTCAGGCAAGTGCGCATCTGCGAAAGGCAGTGATCGTAGGTCTAGTCTAGCTGACGGGAAGCATGGCAAGAACCAGAGAGCCGCGCTCTCCCGAACGCTGTGGCTAGTGCATTGGCATGCTGGTGCGACGCGAACCTGCCGCACATTGCACCTTTTTCTAGGCCGGCTGTAAGCCGGCTGCGGTGCGGCCGTGCCGAAGCCTGCCGACGCATCTGTTTGCTAAAAGGAAAGTCATGTGGATTCCATTGGCATTCTGGCTTGATGCTTGAGTGAGCCATGCAATGAATGCTCTTTGTTCCTTCCTCGAAGCTTCGGTGAAGACGTTAGCTGCAAGACGAAGGGACTGCACATGCCATGAGCTGCAGATTTGGCATAGGCTCACCCAGCGAGCGAATGATTTTTATGGCAAGTGCGGTTGGTTAGCAGTTAGCAGTGCCGCAGCTGCAATCAGCTGCAGCTTGTCGTGCCAAAAGTCGTACTTGTTAGTCCCTTCATACACTTGTAGGTCTAATCGCATTTCGCGCGACGCCTGCAAAGGTGCTTGGGATGACGGTAGTCAACATGAGCTGTGCCGCTACAAGCATCGTGGAGAGCAGTCATACCCGTCGACAGATCTAAAAGCAGGTCAGAATTACGAGCACACAGACACCAACAGCTGTAGCTGCGTGTCTCTTGCGCCTGCTGCCGTGCCCATGGCGCTTAGATACGCAGCTCCGGTCTCAGAAGCAACCCTGCCAGCTGCTCATAGGCGTTCCAGGCTTTTTGCAGAGTTCTTGGATTCTGTGTCAGGCTGTTGGCCTCGGCCAGGCCCTGGCCCTGGCGGGAAGTGCGATCCGGATGGCGGATTTCGACGCAGGCGGCTCTTAGCCTGGCCGCGTGCTCGGGGACTGCGCAGATCCCACGAGAGACTTGGAAGGCCGTGGGCGCCTGGGGTTTCGATGTTCCTGCCGGGGCGTCTGAGCTTGGAGTCTGGCTTGCAGGCTGCGCTTTCGCTGTCGAGGAGCGCGGAGCAGTTGCAGCCCAGATCCCAGCTGAGCAAGCAGCGGTTTCCAAAGAGCATGTGGCCTTCCAAGTCGATCTATCCATCGATCTATCTATCGATGTATCTGTCGTCTCCATCGGTTTGATATTGCATTGTTAGGCGTGCTTTCAAAGCTCGGGCTTTGAGGTTCAGTGCCGGCACCTGGTCCGAGTGGAGCAAGGCTTGGCGACCCCTGGCCATGGAGGCCCCGAGAAGGGGAAGCCTGGCAGCACCACTTTTCTTGGTTCTTGTGCTCCTATAGTCTCCTTAGCCTTAGGAATTATTTTTTCCCATATAAACCCAAGAGAAAGTTACCATAATAGTGATCTACGGTAACTTAAATTAAGTCCCTTAACAAGAACACACTGTGGTGATTCGCGATGTGTTTTGAGATCCTCCGGAATCTCTCTGATGCGGTGAGCAGGAAGGCGAAGCAAATGATCGAAAGGAACTAGGGCACCGTACGGTGCACCCTGATTGAGTCTTCTGGAACCAGAAGAGCCACACAGGCTGGAACGATCGGTAGCCTTCATGCAACTTGGGGGCAAACGATATTTTGCTTCTTAGGAACTTGTTTCTGATCGCAATGGGATCTTCTGCAAGCCGCACAAACAAATGGCACTTGGAACGGTTCACATCCATGTAGCATCTTGGCAGCACAGCATGCAGTTAAAGCTGTCTTTCGTGACAGAAAACCCAGAGAAAATCAATCGTGAGAAGAAGTCTCATGTGCTACCTGTGCCAGGTGGTAAGCGACTTTGATGGTAGTATGGCAGATTGCCCGGAGGCCGGAAGCCTGGCCGCAGATCTTTGACGATCTTGGCATTTGTACATCTCAGGGCTCGGTGGCGGCTTTAGCGCACGGGCTCCTTGCGGTGGACGAGGCAGGACCCGAGAAACGCTAAAACTTCGCCTTCGTCTCTTGTGGATGTCAGGTCGATGGCCATTTCTCTGTGCTCGAGCTTGGCCCTCAAGGGACTCATGTGTTGACAGGGCAGGGCGGAGCCTTGGTAGCGTGACGCCGCTACTGACAGAAGTGGGCAGCTCGAGAGACAGGATCATCAAGATGATGCATCACAAGCTCAGTGACCTCCAGCCTCCGCCTCAGCATGTACAGAGGAGTAGATCTCTTGCAACAAACTGCCAAAGCCTGGCGAATTGGCTGCAGTTTTTCAGGCTTCCAGCATTTCCCCTAGAGCCCAGCGCTCGGTTTCTAGTTCTATTCCTCAGATTGCCAGTGGTATCGGCTTGCGCCAGGCCCGCCGAATGGCAGCAGCACTGGCTGATGGTGGTGTCTTCCATGTCCTCCTCGCATGGCGTGTCAACGAGGGATGGTCCTGTTTGTGTTCAGATCCCGCCTCTTTGCAAAGTGCCGAAGCATGGCAGGTTGCGGTTCATGTATCTCAAGCTCCAGCCTGAGCCGTGAAATGGAGCGGACTCAGGCTGTGCAGGGTCAGATTGTGAGGTGGGTGAACATGCCCCACGACAATGACTTCGCAGACGGGAACCAGGCTGCACCTCCCTCGAGCTTTGCCTGTGCGAAGCCTGGACGTCCAGGAAGACTCCTTGAGTCCCGCAGTCCTCCGGCCGTGAGCTGCTTAGTGGAAGGTTTGATTCAGAAGACAACATAGCTACTGAATGTGAAGTCTTGCTGGTCAGATCCGGCCGGGTGCAGCCTTTCTGTGCCTTTAACCCTGTGCAATTACGGGTTGCGTGCCTGAGGCATCACGACTTCCTGTTCAGGACCCGTGCACTGGGACTACCAGCTAGCTAGATTTATGCAGCCCTCAAGCCGTGAGAGCAACAGTACCCTGATGATTGACGTAGCTTCAATCAAGATTTCTGCCTTTCCAATCAGTAAAGCCCAAGGGCTGTGCGATCGCCTCTGGAGCTTGAGATCCAACGTCATGCAGATGTCATTCACCTGGCTGAGCAACAAAGTATCGGGAATCGCATCTCCTTGCAGGAACTTCGTGGACAAGTTCGTGGCCAGTGGCGTGCGCGCAAACCTTCGTTTCTTCACTCGTGGGTCGGAGTTCAGAGAGTCCAGGACATGCTGAGTGCAGAAAGACATCCCTTGAAGACTTGCCTGGCTCTTTCCAGTTTGCTGTTGGGCAGCACGATGGACACTGCATCCAGAAGGCGTCACAACGCACAAATCTCGTATTGGTGCGAAGGACAGCGTAGAATTGTCTCACGCTTAGTGGCTTAGTAAGTGGATTTAGCAGCACTTGACCCAGAAGTTGCCAACAGCAACTTCTTCATTTTAATTACCTGCCATCCTTTGCGTGGACCGTGGTGCTACGCGATGGCATCGAAGTCTGCTGCCGTCGTCGGGATCGTCGGCGGTGGCATGGCCGGAGTCGCTGCTGCGCGGGTCTTAAGCAGTACAGGACGAACTTTCAAACAGTCCCAAAATCTTCGGTTCGCGGCTCCTTGTTTCCCCCTTTCTTGGAGGAGTCTCGGTGCGTCTCTACGAGCGCGAGGCTGCTTTGGGTGGGCGCCTGGGTGCCGCACGTTTGGGCGAGCACTGGGTTGGCCTCGGTGCGACCTACGTCAAGGCCAAGGACCCACTCTTCAAGGCCAGAGGAGTGCCAGGGGGGCCCCAGGGCCAGACCAAAGTACGCGGAGCTCCGAGTGCCAGGCAGAGATGGCAAAGTGGGAAGAGCTGGGTCTGGCTTCTGAGTGGATGGTAGGCACGCCGCACTTCATTGCCACTTGAATGAACTCACACAGGCACCCCTAAGATATCCTAAGATCCTTCTGGCATTTCCCCCCTTTCCATGACTTCTCAGGTCTATCGGATATCGCTTCTCTCTTGATCTAAGAGTTGCCGAAAATAGGGGGTACATTGCTTTGGGGGATCCTACTAGTTAGGCTACAAAATTCGGGTCCCACGGCCGAGGAAGCTCCCGGAGGCTTCAGCGAGAAGCCGGAGCTGAAAGCCCCTACGGACCGATGGCACGTGGGTCGGCCCAGCATGGAAAGCCTGGTGGAGCTCTCTCCCGAGGACGCCCCTTTTGGGTTCACCGGGCATGGGGGGCTCCTCCATACAAAGTTTGAGGTTCATGGTGGAGGATGCTAGAGGTCTCCACAACCACCCATCTTGACACATAAGTCGTACAGCCGTAGAGTAGTCGGAACTGGCGCTCTCGGGCAGCTCAGGAGCTGAAGCACATCACTCGCTGTGGCGAAGTAGCTTCCGTCAGCTGGGAGGAGGAGCTCGAGCTCTGGCCCGAATAGTTCTTGGACTTGCATGCAAGGCGAAGGGGAGACAGGGCACACTAGTTAGACATTTCGATAAGGAAGCGTGGTTGCTGAACGGAAGCGATTCCGTTTCGGCGCTGATCCTGGCCCTGCCGTTGGCCCCGCTGCGATCCCTACTGCCGGTGGGACTGGAACCGAAACTATTTCACTTCTCCCTTGCATGATGCATGATGCATTCTTGACACAGGTGGGGACGATCGAAGGGCTGGTGCCGGCAGACCTACTGGAGAAGGACTTCGAAAAGGCCCAGGGGCCTAGCGAGTATCAACCTTACCAGTCATGACCCCTGACAATCATCACGCCCCATCATGCAGAACAACTAGCGGCGGGCTTTGGTGTTTGTGAGTGTGCAGTGTAATTGACATCAGCAGGCGCGGGTCGCTGCCGATGCTGGGCTGCAGATGGGTTTCCTCCTGGGAGGGACACTGCCAGCGATGCGCGAGACATCAAGGGAGTCTGGTGGCAAGTTGGTCCCCCGTTGCTGAGGCATGGGTCTTCGCAGCACCATTGGAGCTTCCGTTCAGGATAGCTTTCGTTCCTCGGTCCACATGGCCATCCGGGGGCGTACGATCGTGAATTGATGCAGCGGTGCAATGATGATGGTGGAACAGGAACATGTGAACGAGCTTCGTAATCGTGTCTTTGCACACGAATCACAACGAGGTCAAAGACTCTCCCATCTCGCTCGTCCTCAATGACTCCTCACGCCTTGAACAAGGCAGTGAGAAGGCCGGGTTTGAGCTAACCTCCGAAGTAGCACTGCAGCAGGTTGCACTCGAACCGGAATCCCACTCTCGCACAGAGGCCGAGGTGTGGGTGGTGCAGACCACGACAGAGTGGGCAGCTCAATACATCAAGGATGCGATGCCCGAGGCAGAGGCACGCTCCCAGCTGTCATTGCTAGCCTTTTCGAAGGCTACCGCACTTCATCATGATGCTTGGATCTGACTTTCCCAGTGGAGGTTTGTGCGGTGTTGCTCCGTGAATTTTCTCGAGTTCTTGGGAAAGATCTACCTGCAGTGCAGCAGCAAAAGGTCGGATCCTGAGCTTGCTCGGTTCGCCGGTGACAGCCAGCTTCCAGCTCCACAGACTCGTTCTGCACATTGATAGGCATGATCGACATGGCATCTGCTAGTTCCCTTCCATTATGGGGAAAGTGATGGTGGTCCTTGACGACGCTATCTCAATCGTTGTTGCGGTTTCTTGAGCAGCAACCCTCGCACCGCTCTACACCTGTACTCACGAAGCAGGGCAGTGAGAAAAAGGAACCTCAACCTCTACGCCGAAACCCACATCCGGGAAGAAGAACACGATAGAGTCTCCGATAGAGTACCGGTTCTGATCTAATGTTGCCCCCCTGACCCTAAACCCTAAACGCTCTATAGACTCTAATTAATGATCCAATGCCCTCCAGCAGTTGGGAGGCCTTGACCTGGGTCTACGGTGACATGGACTACAAGCTTCTCGAGGGCCATGCATGGGATGCGAAGAGGCGCCTGGCCTTGGCCGGGGACTGGTGCTACAACGGACGCGTCGAGGGAGCCTGGCTGAGCGGACACCATGCGGCGAACAAAGTGTTGCAGGCCCTTGAGATGTAAACTCTACGAGTAGGGGGGACAGCTGATCCTGGTGGGTCCACAAGAGTTCCACCCAGCTGCCGACGGACAAAGCTCCATCGCGGAATTGATTAAGCAGGCAGGGCGGTACCTTGGCAATGCACGGGTTGCCCGTGAGCTGCGAGAAAGGCGACATCGGCCTTGGAAGATGGGTCTTGTTTTGGATGCAGTGCACTCTTCCTGGAAGTACTGTTAGTTCCAGGTATATGACCTGAGCATCACAGAGAACACCGTTCTCTATTCCGAGGCCGGTCTGCTGTTGTTGTTCTTCATACCCGGGATGGGGATGGGCTCGCTGGGATCCCGTGTATCGGACACAGTGGGTTTGAAGTTTCAAGGGCCTTTCCTCTGGTTAGATTGCCTGATCCCCCATCGGTCAGATCATCTCTGGTAGGCTTAAGGACTTGAGGACCTCGCTTGCAGAGTGCCGCAGCCATGCCTTTGCAGAAGAGGTCATGTTCACTTCATGTTCAGAAACCACGCCCCTCCATGAGGATGCAGGCCGCCTATCCCGGAACTGTCGCCGGCCCCCCCAAATGGACACACGGCTACTGCTAGCGGAGACCCCTGAAGATTCCTGCTGTGGTCTGATGCTCGAAAACCTGTAGACCACGGCCATGATTCTGCATCCACTTGACCGCCTGCGATTTTGCAATTACCCGTGGGGCGGCTTCTAACCATGTTCTCCGATTTGGATTTTGCAATGGTGCGAACGATTCTAAACATAAGGTCGACCTTAGGGGAACGGCAAGAGCCAGATCAACAAGAGACAGCAATCTTGATGGTGACATGATATTGGGCATCGCCGTGGCCACCTTCCAAGCACTGCATTAAGCAGGTACACTAGTATTATCGTCCAAACTGGAAGCACCTTCAGCCAAGACTTTTGCCGGAGTCGCCAGAAAGGTCATGCGGCATTGCCGTGACTGACACCACTGTTTTTCCCTGCTTCTTCCTCGGCCAATTAGATGCTAGGTCTAGCACCCAACAACTTCACCGGCGCATGGTTGGTTGAGGCTGATCGGCAGAAATTTTGAAACGCAGGCCTTTGCCTTCCTGGCGTTCTGCCACCTGCATCAGGCGCCGGCATCTGCTGATTTCACATCCTGGCCTGTTTCTTCTGTTCGTAGATCTGCGGGCTGTCAGGTCGATTTCATTGCAGAGTCCGGAGTTTACAAGGGCGTGCTGGACTTAGCCACGACAAGCACCTGCAGCCGACATGGCTTTTCGGTCAGTCAATGCACTGCTCCGGAGGTTTCCACAGAGATCTGGAGCCTTTTCGCCAAGGCGCCATGCTTCCTTCAGGGGCACCCGACAAGACAGTTCAAACTTGATCTCGTTGCACCGATCAGGAGGTGGCGGCTGTTGATATCTTCTTGACGCCAGAGGTGGGAGCTTCACGTTTGATTATGAGGTGATACAGTTCTTGAGGGCTTCGTATGTAGCCCAGCTCTTGCTGGGATGCGCTGCAAACCTGGGGTTCCCAATATGACTATGAGGCAGGGGTGAGGCGAGGTGCAGCCGAAATGATGTCCAAGTCAGGCTGAAGAGCGACTTCAGCGACGAAGCAACGTGGAGCTCCACACAGGAAGTCGGGGGTTCAACATGTGAATGTAGATGCAAGACCTTTTGAAGCCCACTTATCCATGCATACATATATATGTATACACACATACATATTGTAGACAAGTGTTTGTATAATATATGTATACATATTTCTGCACATATATATATGTATATATATATATATATACATACTTGTAGCCTGGACTTCCACTTTGCTGCCACGAGCCTCGAGGGCCTGAAGCGCCCGGGTCTGCCTTCCGAGTAGCTGGGACTCAATCGGGGCTCTTGCTCTTGATGGGCGCGGTCTTCGCGTGTGACTCCTGTTTTGTGAGGGCAAAGGCGGCTGACCATCTGTGCAATGACATGGCCTTGAGAGACAATTGCGAGCTCTCACCGGTCAAGAAGAACATTGACGCGAACCAACTGCAGCTTTTGCCAAAATTTACCAGAGTTGCCATCATACTGACCCGATCCAGCTTCTTCTCAAGTGGGCAATAGGCAGACACCCTGGCACATATCGCTGGTGATTTTTGTGGACTGTCGCCTTGCAGCGTGTAGATTCTTGCGCATTGCCGTATTCTTCCGTTGCGCGGAGTCTGCCAATGCGCAGAGCAGTTCTCCTCAGCTGGCCTCCAAGCCGACACCAGCTATGTAGCCGAAAGCCAAGGGAAAGGCTGACAAATCTCTTGAGCAAGATTTTGATCTGGGTGGCAGGAGCACCCTATCATGTTTGACAGATCACGTCAAAAGCAGGTGATTTTTGTAAACGTGCCACCGACATTGTAGAGCGTCGAGAATCCTCTCCGAAGCGAGGTTCGGCTCAGTGCGCGAGCACTGCTAGACTTGTGCGTGCAAAGAAGTTGCCGAAGAGCAAAACGAGAATAGATTGCCAGCAGATCTTTCGCAGCCGGACCCTTGCCAGTGTGCCTCACTTGGTGTGTGTCTCCCCTGATGTTAGGAGATGGCCGGAAGCTGCTGTTCCCATCTCAGCGTCGCAGATCCATGTCGGGAGAGTCTAAACTAGGCGAGTGAGGCAGAGAAAGGAACCGAAGAGGACGACATCCGGCCGAGTGTTTTGCCTGCATGCCACGTAGACATGACTTGCAGTCATTGCATTGCTCATCCAGGCTCTGAATCTTGGCTTGCTGTCTATGGAAAGGAGTAGGTAAACATATCAAGCTTGCCGCTGCTTCGTACAGCCAGTGTACAGCCCAACTGCTGATTTCCGAGGTCACTACGGCTCAATCCTACCCTGGCATTAGTGCGCAATTTGAGGGGTTAGTCAGGTACGGTTCCGCACATGAACTCGTGCTTTGCACCCCGGGTTCTGAAGCATTCACCCCGCGGTCCCGAGCCCTCGACCCTCTCAACCCCAAACCCTTGTTTCGCAAAAGGCCCGAGCTCCTCAGCAGACCAGGCCGCAGGGCGGCAGCCGGGGCCAAAGCTCGCAGTTGTTGTACAGGGGGGGGTGCCGGGCCATGGGAAGCATGTTCAATTTTGGTTTGCCATTAAGCCCAAGGGTTTTTGTTCTTGTCGGGCTTGGGGCTTACAGGTACTACAGGATCAGTCCGCGATGGTCCTTGGCGCAGAAGCTGCTCAGTGGTTTAACGTTGCACCCTAAACCCCAAACCCTCATTCAACCAACCTAAACTTAGGCAGGGAGAAAAGAGGGAGGGTTCAAAAACAAAAAACCTTAAACCCTTTCGTACTTGTAGCTTCAGGTCTTCATTGATGGGCCCAAAGGGGAGCTTGCCATCCACCTGGCGCTGAGTTTGATCAAGCTACCACAGGCGGGGGTCAGGAATGAGTGGCATCTTTTCATGATGCTACCTTAATTTGGGGTCCTTTTAGTGGGGATCCTGCTATTCAGTGTACTATATCAGGGTCCCCTATATGATTTGCAAGGAAACTCTTGGGTCGAAGGTTGTCGGAGGCCCAAAGATGGGTCCAGTTCAAAGCCACGTAGCTTTGGCTTGAGTCGCAGAGACTCACGTAACACACATAAGTCCACATTCTAATGCTATCTTCTGGATTCTAGATGATGAGAACTCAAATGTCTGTCAGGTTGCCTTCGTGGCCATGCATGACATGGAGCCGTACAAGCGTGCACCGGCCGCGGCTTTTGGAGCTGTGCTGTGTCCCCGCAAATCTTTCACATGTTAACCCTGTGGGACAGGCAGCTCGACCTGGATCAGCCGTGCAAGACACCATGTAATTGAGCCCAAGCTTTCGGACATTCCAAACATCTCCAACCTCTCTCAAACCCTCACAGAATCCTTTACAGAATCCCAAACCCCCGAACCCTAAAGCCGCGAAGACGTCGAAAGTCCTGCCAGGGCGCCTCCGCGAGCTGGGGGCTTTCTTCTTCTCAGATGAACCCTGGTTCAAGGCTGCTCGGGAGGGAGGTGGGTTTCCGGGGAGATATTCAGGCGATTCAGGCAGTCCCTGAAATGTAGCTAGGTTCCTGAGCATCAAGAGTCTGTTCAGTCGGAGCAAGCCACAAGATGGAGCCCGGGTTTGGACAGAATGAGGAAAGGAGCTCAAACTTCTGCATGCACATCTCACATTCATCGACCTGCTTGTGCAATGCTAATTCAGGGGTTCGGGATTCAGATGCGAACTCCCGATGATCCTCACCGCCCAATCCTCCCAGCTCCCACCAAATTCTGGAATCAGGAGGCGTATGGGCACCTCGACGAACCCTTCCGGAGACGTCCGGACCTGCTTGCTGGTGGTCGGGCACTCAAGATTCATATATTCGGAAGAGGTTCTGTGCCGTTCCCTGGAACAACATCCAAGGCACCATGGCTTTCATCACAACTGACGCGAAGAAATAAAAATATTTTAGATCGCCTATCTGCAAATTTAATAGATCCAACAAACTTGATTGACCATCAGAATTACGTTAATAATTCTCCTAGGAAAAAAGTACAATACTACCTCAAACATTTTATAGAAATATTTCGATAGAGGAAGAAACAAATGAATTAATATTAATAATTGAAAAAATAGGACTGAGATTTGGCATATCTTATATATATATATATATTATACTATTTGTTTAATTATAAAATATTCAGATAAGATATGAGAAATTCTCTAATAAAGTGGTACGATATTATTGAAATCTGGGATTCTAGAAAAAATTGTGCCTCTTTATAAATTGGTGATTCACTATATTTAATCATGATGGTTTATAGAATGATTATTTCTTATAATAATGTTAGAAATAATTATTTAGGTCAATAGAAATTTCGACGATCATAAAATTCGCGTATTTTTCATATGAATATAAAATTATATGACTTTCTTATTGGTATTATAATGAAATATTTTGATGATAATTATTGCTTGAATTTGATAATCTTAATATGGTAGGGGTTCAAAATTTTCTGATTTATAGTAGGGTCGGGATATTCTTCGCATAATAAAAAATTTATAATAAAGCAATTCTTTTATGAAGAGATTTATATGATAGATTCTCTTATAGAGTCGTGAGCTATTGAATCTAGATGGGGTTTGGGTCTCGCGAAAATACGGGATATTGAGTCGTCTTTATATCATAGATAGTTGTCAAAATTAGTATATAATTGATAAATTTATATTAGGTTTATATAAGGATTTGGAAATAATATAATCTCTGGAAATTAAGAAATAATTTAATCGGCGTTCGTATTGTTAAAGATTCGTATCTAGATTAATATTTGGTTATGTGAGTGGTTTCGTATTAGGTTCGTATCTATGGGTTGGCTCGTATTTGGATTCGTCTCTGATCTGATAATTTAGTATCTGGAATTTTATTTTTGATTATATTCATTTCGCATTTGATTCATATTTGGGGATCTAGAATTACGTTTGGGATCGTCTCTGATTCTTATCTGCTTCGTAACTGGTCCGTTAAAACGACAATAACAAGGCTCATTTTATCGAGTCGACTTTAGTAGGACTTCTATTATTTTGAATATTTAATTTTTATGGAAATTGGATAATTTATATATTTATAGTTTAAATTTCAAGTATTTTTCGGTGCTAAATCGGTCAAAATAAGGTAGATAATAAGATTCAAGAGACTGGTGAAACTATGGGATATCCGTCAAAATCTATCATTTTGCTCGAAAGAATATCTAGATAATGGGTGCTGCGCATTTGCGAAATAGATAATTTATTTGAAGAATATATTTCCAGAACGGAGGCGTATCTCTCCTACGTATTTTCTTCTAATACTCGTTATAGTGGTCTCTTCTTTCTTAAATTTTTTCTGATTTCTGAAATTTATAATCTTATCGTAATCTCCGCATTCTTCTGGTCTTGTAGTTCCTGTGACTTGTATAATTCCTGATTTGGATCTATTCGTATTTTCATGAAAGCTAATATAATTAGTCTCTCGTTGCTAATATAATAATGGATTCCCCGGTCGCGCACCAAACCGCGGGTTCAATATGATATAGGTAATATCGGTCTCACGAATACTTTCGATTCCCTCGACTATAGGATGCACCATAAAAATCAATATAAACGATAGGTCGGTCTTCGCATATTCACGTCAAATATCAAGGATATATTTCAATAATATCAATATAAATAGCATATCATTCTTCGTGCGTTCATACCAAGTAACCAAGATCTGGTATAAAAATCAATTTTAATCGCTCATCATATAAAAGTATCGGTCATACCGACGCTTTCGGTACTTCCAGTGCAGGATGAATTATAAAAATCAATAAAAGCGATATGACGGTCTTATCACGAATATATCAATGTCGGAATCAATAACAGAAAGAATAATATCAATATCAATATCAATAGCAGTCAGGGAAGCACCAATAAGACCGGCAACGAAATAGACAATGACAATATCAAGAATATCAATAATATCAGCAACAAGCAAACAACCGCAATAGCATCAATCACTATTATAACAGCGACTGCACCACCACCCATAACAATAGCAACCGCAACAGCGTCGTCACTACAACGAACCGACGAACCGATGTTGCAAACACTGCGAATAAGGGAAATATCATAAGGACGTTTATATCATCTCGGAAGTATCAATAACAATCTCAGCAGCAACAATAATAGCAATAGCAGCAAGGACATCAACAACGACAATAATAACATCAACGACAACATCAACAACAATAATAATATCAAGAACAACAATATCGATAAGAACCCGTCGCAAATATACCTATTAAAATAGTACAACAGCGACTGCACCACCACCAACAGCAACAGCCACAACCGCAGCAGCAGCAACAGCGGCAGCATCACCATAACGACGACACCGCGACGAAAGAAATTTCGAACCCAGGAAACGTTATGAAAATCGTTGCAAAACTCACCGCAGACGCACGAAATATCGGCTATACGAATGCGAAAATACTTGGAATGCGGGAAATCGGATTTCTCGCGGAGTCGATAAAATACGAGCAACCTGGCGATCTCC